CAATGTTTAATACCAGTCATTACATATGCATGTAAAACCTGCATACATAAAAGGGACGTTATACGGAAACTGCAGGTCGCACAACGCTCAATAGAACTAAATACGCTGTGAATAACAAAAAAAGACTGTAAAAGAATAGAGTGGATACGAAAAAAGACCCAGGTAATAGATATCATCCACAAAATCAAATCCCTCAAATGCCAATGGGCAGGACACCTGGCAAGAAGGACCACAAAAATTACGGCATGATACACGAGGAATTAAGAGACCTAGAGGAAGACCGAACTCAGGATGGGACCATGATATTAGAAAATTAGCAGGGATAACTTGCTCCCGCATAGCCAACATTGGGCCCAACTACAAAGAGAGTATCTAAATATGTGAGGGAGGGTACACCATAATTAGAAATGGTTGAATAAGCTGAAAATAATGATGATACAAAAGAATCTAAACCCACATTTGCCCAGGGTTGCCAGCTGTCCGGGATTTCCAGGAAAGTCCCGGATTTTGGTAGGTTGTCCCAGATCCCGGAAAATTATTATACTATTCCGGGAAGCGTCAATCAAATTATAAAATCAAATGTTATAAAGTTCACCGAGAAGTTCGCAATGTAAAAAAATAGATTTAGCTTTGTTCGTTTATATCTATTACAATTTACTTGTTGTTTGTGTTTGTGTCAGTAAAACATGTTTTGACTGTAATTTGTTTTAATTTGACAGTTTCCACACACCCGCAAGTGGGGATAGGTTTTTTTGTCCTTCAGGAATTTGTTGAAAAAAAAACAAGAGTTGCAGGGGTAGTGATTAGAATTAAACACGAGAAAATAGAGTAAAACTTAAATTTATTTTAAACTAGTGAAAAGATACAGTTCCTCTTATAAATGCTAGACAACAACTAACTACTTTCTAACACACGCATCTGGCGAAACCCTTAAAGCCATTGCCAAGAGGCCATAAAACTTTTTCCCAGAAGAAATTAAGATAAGGTCCGCCGACCGAGTGCAAAAGGATCATTTATTGGTTCCTTTTTAAAATGTAAAATATGCATCTTTAAATATTGAATTTCTAACAGAATTTAGCTATACCAATCCGGCAACCCTATCGTTACCTGATTTTTTGGGGGATATTGGTCATGCTGGTCTTAGTCATTTTGTAGGAAAAGCGACAGAGATCTGTATAGGGTGTTCCAAAAGACCTCTGCCATCTCTCGTGGGGAGATTCCTCACGTAAAAATAAGATTTATTTTTAATATCAACATAGGTCCGATTCTGCTTTGTTTCGTAGATACATGGTGTTACAGTCTGAATAATCTTTCGATTTATTATAATTTTCTTCCAAGTACTTTTAGCGTTTCGAATGAAATTTTGAGAGTAAAAGTTACTATAAGTCCTGCATATTTTAACGGTTAAACAGTATCGATAAATTCATCAGGGACGTGCATATGGGTTATCACTGGAATATTTTTCATAAAAAAACATGTGCGCAACTGACTTTTTTCTTTTGATTTGGATTGGAAATCAAAATAGTTTAGGCGGTTTAATGCCAATTATAAGTTATCTCTTGATATTTCGTCGAATTCAGCTTCCTTGATGAGATAAACGCAATTTTATTAATCACAATTCATCACTAAATCACCACAATACACCAAAACACTTTTACTCGAGGCTTTTACTTTTACACTGGACGCGCGTTTCGCTAACCATGTTAGCATCATCAGCAGATGATTATAAACTGAGTTTGAGTTTATAATCATCTGCTGATGATGCTAACATGGTTTGGTTTGGTTTGGTGTAAAACCATTTAGTGTAAAAGTAAAAGTGTTTTGTTGTATTGTGGTTATTTAGTGTTTTATTTTGCTGTGTAACACCAAAGGTTCCAACCCTCAACTGTAATCACAATTCATAAAATTAAAATAAAAATAAAATTAATAGATTATATATTTTACATAATTTATTATTAAATATTATTACTATTAGTTATTATTACTATTAGTCAAACCTGCAGCAATTTGAAATAAAAAAATAATGGTATTTAAGAAAATTATATTATATATAATGTTAAAAAGGTTTAACATCCTGTAATTCTAAAACTATGCATTTCCATATCCATATTTATAGAAACTTTTTTCATATTTCATTTTTTACTTATTTAAATCTGTCGCAAGTTAATGATATTAATGTTTTTAAAGGTTGCTATTAGACTTGGATCAAGGCAAATTAAGTGGCGTACATGCTTTTTTGGAAAAATATTCCAGTGATAACCCATATGCACGTCCCTGGTGAATATGTCAACACTTTTTTGACTTTAAAATATGTCGCATTTATAGTAACTTTTGCCCTCAAAATTTCATTCGAAACGCTAAAAGTACTTATTAAATCGAAAATTAAATTATCTAAATTATATTAAATCAAAAAAATATTAAGAATTTAACACTCTGCAGTTATGAAACAAAGCAGAATCGGACTTATGTTGATATGAAAAATATTTTTTTACCTGAAGAATCTCCCCACGAGAGATGGCACATGTTTTTTAAAACACCCTGTATATATCTTTGAAATATTTATTTTTTCCCAATGACATCTAAATTTATTGAATTGATTGATTATTCTGTAAGGGTGTATTCTATGTTCTGAGATATTTAAATAAATGATAAAACGAAATCAAAAAATTAGGTTGTTTAAAAATATACTAATTGATATTTAGTTTGGTATTATAGTCTAAGAGCTAGCAACGTTTTCGAGAAAGTATTTTAAGACGTCTGGCCATAGAATATACTAACGAAAAAGAAGCCCAAGTTCCTTGTAATAAATCGGTTCCATTTTCGTAACGCCATCTCTCGACATAGTTGACATTTACAGGTTAGCCAAAGGGGTGCGGGGCCGGGGGAATTGTAAAATACACTTTTTTATTTTATTTTTATTCGCTATTTGCAATTTTATTTTTAAAACATATTATCTGAAACAATCACATAATATGTCTTAAAAATAAAATGACAAACGGAAACAAAAGGAATTAAATAATCTGAAAATCTACAAAGTTTATTGATAAAAAAGTTAGGCTATGCAAATTGATATATTAAGTATAACCTCTTTGGTATAACATTGTTAAACAAACATTAACAAATCATAACATATCAGATCATAGAACTAAAAAAGTACTATTACATAAAAACAGGTGATGCAATACTTCAAAATTAATTTTAACATAATATCAAAACCGAAAAATCAAACTGCAAACACAACCACACTTATCACAACAGAAATTAACACACACTTCCGCGGCAAATGACCAAGAAAGACTGATCATTCTGATTGGTCCTGGTCCGGTCGTAGCTCACGTCGTATTGTCGGTAAGCAAAATCCCTGTCAAAAATTTTGACGATCAGCGCCATCACCCGTCATAATTGGGAAACTTTTGCTGGAACCATTTTCAATATTTCACTTACATGGCCCTGCGTCTGGCTCTTTGATATATCTTTTATTATGCTCTCTGGAACAGGGTGCAGGCCGTCTGGCTGCCGATACACGTTGCGTTCACTACTGCGCATCCAAAGATCATCTATTTTTTACTTAGCGCTTTAAATTCTAGTATTGAATGAAAATCGAGCAAGTCTCCATTAGCTCGGCGCGTAGAGCTTTCGCCTATGAAGCGAAGATCAGTGGTTCGATACTGGCTGGGGATGCAACTTTTTTATTTTTTTGCGTTTATATTCTGATAGTAAAGTATTAAATATTTGCTTTTTTTATCACCAGAACGGACAGCGTTTATGGGTTTATGATCCGTAGTGTATATAAGTAGAATTTGATACTTTCATTTGTTTTGAAGGATATTGTGGTAATTAATTATTAGATAGGTTTAGGATGGTCTGGCTGCCGCGCCGGTAGGTTGCGTTCACTACTGCGTATCACATGGGTACAGGGTGTCTCATTTTCGTGCGTTTTTTGGGATTTGGGATATCTGGGATTTCTCGTTTATGAATGGAGATACAATGATGCGTTTTTTTTCACATTTCTTTGCTAGTTTTTTACGTAACTAAATATTCTACCTCTAGATTTGCGCATTTTCTACACATTAACATTAATCAATCTTATTTAAAAAGTATTATTATTCTATTTAATTTAATTTAACCAGATAATTTTGTTTTCCATCGTTATCTTAACAAACTGAACTTAAGATAAACTTGTGTAGCTTTTAGATAACAATCTGTTAAAAAAAGTATTATTAAAATTATTATTAAAATAATAAACAACAACTGAAAAAAATATTTTGAAGAAAGACAGGCAGAAATTACCTTAATTAATAAATAAAAATTAAAAAGCATTAAAATGATAATTTTTATATATTATGTTTAAATATTTAAAATGAAATTATAAACGAGAAATCCCAAAAAACGCATAAAAATGGGACACCCTGTATACATGTGATGCGCAGTAGTGAACGCAACCTACCGGCGCGACAGCCAGGCCCTCTTAAACCTGTCTAATAATTAATTACCACCATAATCCTTCAAAACAAATCAAAGTATCAAATTCTACTTATATACACTACGGATCATAAACCCATAAGCGCCATCCGTTCTGGTGATAAAAAAGCAAATATTTAATACTTTACTATCAGAATATAAACGAAAAAAAAAATAAAAAAGTTGCACCCCCAGCCGGTATCGAACCACTGACCTTCGCTTTGTAGGCGAAAGCTCTACGCGCCGAGCTAATGGAGACTTGTTCGATATTTATTCAATACTAGAATTTAAAGCGCTAAGTAAAAAATAGAGGATCTTCTTTGGATGCGCAGTACTGAACGCAACGGGTATCGGCAGCCAGACTAGGCAGCCAGACTAGGCATGTTGTTCCAGAGAGCATAATAAAAGATATATCAAAGAGCCAGACGTCTTAAAATACTTGTTTTCCCGACGTTGCTAGCTCTCGTACTATTAGTTTTCTTAGTTGTTGTTTATTAATATTAAAATATTATTTTATATAAATGAGAAATCCTTTTCAGATAATCACAATATTTTCCGCGTCGAATTACTATGAAGTTGGTTCCAATAATGGGGCATACGTCAAATTAGTTGGATTGAAGCTTGAACCTCATTTCGTCCAGTACATGGCCAATGCAGGAAGGAAGAAGTTAAATTTCTACCAAAGAATGGGATTGGTGGAGTCTGGAGCCACCAAGGAGCTACAAGCACAAATATTGAATAACCGGTCGATAATAGAAAATGAATTTGCAAAACTTGACCCTGAAAATACCGGTAAAGTAGGGATCTGTTTTTAAAATAGAATAGAAAAGGAAATTTGTTTAGTTTTTAAGAAGCATAATTTCTTGATAATATGGCAACCGAGGTAGTAGATTAAATTTACAAGAAAGAAAACACAAAAAAGATCCAATGGTTCTCAAATTTAATGTAAAAAATATTTTTTTTTCGAAATTTTCAAAGTAAAATAACTTTGTTATTTGTTTTTTTTTGGACTTACTTGAAAAATGGTAAAGAGAATGTTTCTTTTATCGAGATCTACTTCTACTTTATCTTATATTTTATTTTTACGTAAGTATTCCACATTTCAGCCATATGTTAATTTTTTTCATCTTCTATAAAATCAATAGCAACCGTTTCTTGAAGTTGAAGCTATAATAACTGATGGTAGTCCGTTTATTAGTCAAATACACTACTCAAAACAATTATCGCATATTTCAGTAAAAGTAATTACTACATATTTCTTAATGAAGCATGCATTTTTCTGCCGTTCTCTTGTGAGTTTTTTAAAGATAATTAGGGTACGCACTGACATGTAATTTTTAGTTGGCCGACTATTTAGTTGCAGAAGTGGAAACAATACATTCTTATGGAGATCCGCCCAATATTTAATTGCATTGCCGTAGCCTTAGGCTATGCGCTGACAGGCAATTTTTAATCGGCCGTCTATTTAGTTGCGTATTCGTAACCAATATATCCTTATGGAGCCGCGCTCACATGCAATCAACTAGTCGGCCGATCGGCTTTATAAGTATGTATTGTTTTCACTTTTGCAACTAAATAGTCGACCGATTAAAAATTACAGGCCAACTCGTAAACTTATTGTTTCAAATTTCCCTTCACAGTATCCAAACTATTTATAACCGTAAGTCAGGGATTTCAAAGTGTCTTTTCAAATTAATCAACGGGGCACAACAATAAGACGAAGGTTTTTCCCGAACTTTGTAACACCATGTAGAGTGCAGCAGCGGTAGTAGCTATTGCTAAATTAAATCACATTGTAGCCTCATCTTTTGTGAGCAGTTTATTACACATTATCTCTTTTTGTATTGGAGATATGTTGTTTTAAAACGAACGTCTCGGAAAAATACTTCGCAGGCAGAAAGTTTTATGTATAAATAATTAAAGCGACATAGGCGAAAACGGATTTATGAGTATTTGCAATATGAGAAAAGCGGTTGCCAAATTAAAAGATGCCATTATCTGTAACTTTATTTACCTTATTTAAAAAGATGTAGCTCATAAAAGAATAGAGATAATAGATAATTCAAAAAATGAAGTGTTACGTTAGGTTAGATTAGGTTATACATCTAAGATTACAGGAAAGTTTGAAAGTTTTTTTTCCAAAATACCCGTCCTATTTTTTTAAATTTATTGCAAAAACCGAAGTTTTCATTTGCCCCGGTATAAACCCATCTAACGGAAATATATTAGCCATTAAAATAATAAAAAATAATGCCAAAAAAATCAACGAACTAATACTATAATCATAAAAATCGGATTACGAATCAAAAGCTATGAAACATCAAGTTTTAGGGTGGCAGAATTTTATGCTGGGGAGTTTAGTTTATTACAATAAAATTTAAATTTTTGTATCAATACTATTAATTTATTAAGAATATTTATCTAAATAGGTATATGAGCATTATTATTATGCTTATGAAAAATAAAAAATAAACAACTTCTTCAAATAAAGATATTTAAAATTCTACCATTAAACCCCAGTTTTAATTATCCGTTTTTATCGAGGCTTTCTTTTAAAAAATCTACCCCGCATTAAATTATTTTAAAACAAACTTGAAGCAATAAAATATTGTTATTTATTCTGTGCTTTATTCTCCTTTTTATAGGTCTTATTTCGGTAACTCAGTGGTGCTTGACGCTGGAAAGATGCACCGGATTGCAAATTCCGTGGAGACTCTTAAAAGAAAAGCTGGTGACCATCCATCCCGAAACAAAAATGGTGCAATACCAAACTACTTTCGATATTAAAAGTGCACGGCTCAACGTAAGTTTCTTTTTATAATACTTATGGGATTTTTATTAATAGTTAAAATAAAAATATTTTTTGCTATACAGACAGGGTGGCGCACCTCATTCGCCTCGGTTGCTTATACGAAAACGGAAAGATGTAGAAACAAAATATTTCATGGGTATATGTGGGAAGGCAATGTGCATAATTTAAAATTATTTTGAAATGTACAGGGTGTGCCAGAACTATTAAATAATTATAAATTAAAAATAAATATTTAAGATAGACCAGTAATTTTTGATACCACTGTATACATTTAAGGTAGCAATAATTTTGTTTAGTAAAGTTTATTTCTCTGGCTTCAAAATCAGCACAAGAATTAAATCTGAAAAGTAATGTACAGGGTACTGACAAACTTTTTTATTATAGCATGCATATTTAAATATCTTTAAATATCTGAAAAACCAAAGCTTTTAGACATATTATTCCTTTATAATAAATGCCTTATTTTATGACCAAGAATGCAAAAATGAAATAAAGTACCGGGTGTTCCATAAGAAAAAATATAACTTTGTTATGGATCTTAGATCTGACACGCCATGTATATTTGAAAATAATTTTAAAATTTGCACATTGCCTCTATACTTATACCCAAAAAAATATGTTCCTATATCTTTTCATTTTCGTATAATCAATCGAGGTGAATGAATTGCGCCACCCTGTATAACTGGTATTTTGTAAAATCTTCAGCTTTCAGAAATAATGAAAAACTGAAAATAACAAAAAGTTATGTTTGTTTTTCGTCATGGGGAAACCAAACACCTCGTTATATGGCAAGATATATTTTTATTTTAAATATTAAATATTGATACTGCAAGAACCTTTCACTTTTTAGAAGGGAAATATAATATGTTTTTTATTTACAACGTCTATAAATACAGAAACTATTCTACAGTATCTCCCGGATTGTCTTTACATGAGGAAACACTTTCTTATTATTAAGTCTTTGAGAAAAATTTTGCTTGCTCTAAAATGGTAAATCCAGTTTATAATTTTCAAATTCCCTGACTGTTTTAGAGTCAAATAAAAAAAATATTAAAATATAATTTAATCTTTAGACTATATCAAGCGTTGAATCCTAGAATAAAGTTGTAATGTAATTTTTAGGATTTCATTCTTTAATAGATGGTTATTATTAATTTTTATTAACATCATATTTTTCGCCGTTCTATTATGTTAAAAAAAGCACAACATAACATTTTTGGGACTTGGTAAAAAATACAACTATATGTTCATACATTTGTATTTTTCTCTAAAACGGTATGGGAATTTGGAAAATTATAAATTGGATTAACCACTTTAGAGCAAGCGAAAACTTTTATGTAGAATGCATTTTTCTAAAAAACTGAATAATAAAAAAGTTTTTTTTCTCTTGTAGGGACAATCCGGAACATATTGTATAAAATATTACTGATGAGATGAGTACATAACTAATAAAGTCATTTTAGTCTGTTCAAGGTGCCAGTACTGTTGTTGAGACCCTGTATAGAAACAAAAGCAGTCTGGAAGCTATATTCAGGATTATTGACAAAGATAATTCAGGTAATATGAATATTGTAAGCTTTATTATTTGAAAGATCATAATTAAAAGAGTGATCTATTTCCATTACTAAGTAAATCTAAACAGCTCACTTAAGAAAAAAATATTTTAATAAGAAGCATAATATGTCGTCCTGCAATGGCCAAGTAATTATAAGTACCTATTATGGAAATAAAGATGTCTAATATTGATACTGTCACTATAAATGTTTATAGGTAATTGATTAGATAACAATTTAGAACAAAGTTGTTGAGTGCTTCCATAGCCACTATCTAAATAAAATATCTAACTTTCATACACGTGATCTCACAACTTTTTGTTTTTTGTACCGCAAGAACTGCATTGCCAGACTTTTTGACAGTGCAACTTTTTTTATATTTTATATTATTGGATTAATTTAAAACTACTATCTAAAACTTACTAAAACAGCCTCTACACTATCCCGGAAATGTTTTACGAAATATTTCTGGAAATATTTCGTGAAACATTTCGCAAAACATTTCTGGAAATAGTACAGGCTTATATTTATCGTACTATTTTGTAAAATAGCACGAAACATCAAGGTCAAACGTTGTGGTGGCTTCAGAAAAATAAGTAAACATGGAAAAACTGATATGAAAACAGGTATTCCTCAAAGGTTGCACAAGAATATTTAGTTTTAATCATTGTCTGATATTATTAATTACAATATAGGTATTAAAAAAATGTGAAAAACAGTGACTAACTAGCGGCCTACCAAATGGAAAAAAATATCGGCTTATAATGCACGGTATTGCGTCTCATGAACAAAATATACACAAAATTATTTAAAAAATTATCTAATTATCTATTATTTCTGGTTATGGTAAAGTAACATTTATACTGTATATTTTCCTAGTTTTATTTGTCTAAATCCCTACATAATAAATACTAGTTGAATGGCTTTATATCAAACCATGCTGGGTGCTAATAAAAGTACCGTTTACAGATCGTACAGTTTTAATCATTGTCGAGATATTATTAGTTACAATATAAGTATTAAAAAAATGTGAAAAACAGTGACTAATTAGCGGCCTACCAAATGGAAATAAATATCGGCTTATAAATACACGGTATTGCGTCTCATGAACAAAATATACACAAAATTATTTAAAAAATTGTTTAATTATTTATTATTTCTGGTTATGGTAAAGTAAGATTTATACTGTATATTTTCCTAGTTTTATTTGTCTAAATCCCTACATAATAAATACTAGTTGAATGGCTTTATATCAAACCATGCTGGGTGCTAGTAAAAGTATCGTTTACAGATTTCTCTTAAGAACAATAAAATAATATGTATTGCTTTTAAATAACGTCCGTGGATCATACTTTTGTTGGGGTCAAGACAACTGGAAATAAATCGAAATGCGTCAAAGTTGGGCTACGAAATGCGACGTTGACATGTTTCGAGGAGTTTCTCGCATTGGGTAGGGGCTGTTTAAGATCCGGCTGCAAGATTATTACGATCATCATATGTTTAATCAAAACCTAATTTTTACGTATATTTATGAATAGGTAATACTTTTACTAGAGTACCAAACAAAAAGTTATCGCCAACCATATTTAATTAATAATAATATCAATAATAATAATAACTGATTTAGAAGTTACGAATAAACCGTTAGAAGTAACAGACCGGACATCACGCTTATAAATAAAATTAAAAAACAGTTTTACTAATTGATATTTCTATTCCTAACAACAACAATATACAAAGCAAGTTTACAGAAAAAATAACAAAGTATCAAGATTTGAAAATAGAAATAAAAAATATATGGCAAATGGAATCGGTCCAGGTAGTCCCCTTGATTGTCTCAGCCATTGGAATTATCCCGGTCAACCTGAAAGAACAATTAAAAGTAATTGGAATACCTGAAAATACTTACCGCCTAATGCAGAAATCTGTGCTGCTTGATGCTGCTAACATTGTTCGTTCCTTTCTAGGTGATTAACAATAGCACCTTATCTTGTCCCCATGAACCGATAAGGCAACTTTAAACCTGTTCTGAGCAGTGAAAAAAAAAATAACTGATTTTGGAGACGACATTACGGTTATAAATTTTTTTGATCATTTATATGTCAAATCAAAGCAATTTTTATTCTGTGCTTGATGTTATAAGGGTGCCTATCGAAAAGTTGCCGCAAGTAGGAATTGCCACGGTTTGAAATCGTTCCTAAGATGACTTGATACGGGCCCGGCTACAGTGCGTCGAGCATCTGTAGTTCCTATAATAAAATGAAATTTTTAAAGCTTTTTGATGACATCTTGGTAAACATCCTAAAGCCCAAATTTGTTCCAATTTAATTATCTTCGTATCTATTACGTTTTCCGAGATACCAATGCTCGTACCTCGAATTTGTAGCACCCTGTATAGGGTATTCTATTTAAAAAAAAATATCGCGATCCATTATTTTTTGACTCACCCTGTAGAAGTTAAAATATTTTCTTGAAATACTTCCTAAAACATACTGTTACGGATTCCGTGGGTCCACTAATTTAAACTCACGATAAAATACTTAACGAATTTATTTTCTCACTTTATACACAATTACTAACTTATAACACACAACAACTAACTATTTATAAGATTCCTTCACCAAATTGTCCGATTTTCAATTTCCACGCGGTATATTCAAATTTCAAAACTCTTAAACTTCCCCAACTGTCGTAAGCGCTCCTTTTATATAGCTGTGGTGAGTGTTTCGCGAACAATCTAAAATTATCGGGACGGGTCCGCCATCTACTAGTACATTCTATTGTCTGCTTCGCTTACTTGTCGACTTGATTAAGAGATGGCGCTACAACAAAATATTGTCTTCAGGTTTCTGGACACGTTGCGGTTTTAGTTGCTCGCTTCTCCGACAGATGGCGCCACATACACCTTGACATTGCCCCCTTCTCAAATTTGATCGTCCCGATCAAGGTTTCCTGTCTGGTATCTCTTCAATCGATCCAGATGAACTACTTTCATCTTACTTCTAGGGCTGCGTTGAATCCGGTACACTACATCATTTATCCTCTTGATGACTGTATAAGGACCTTCCCATGCTGGAGTTAACTTTGGGGACCTTCCTTTCTTGCGCTGTGGATTATACAACCATACTCTATCGTCCTGTTGAAATCCCGTAGAATTAGCTCTGAGGTCGTAACGAGCTTTCATCCGGTCACTGGCTAGCGTAATCTTACTTCTCACGGCCTTATGAATTCCCAATAATCTTTCCTTCCTAACGACTCTTTCGAACGACCGTCCAACGTTATCTTGTTCCATTTTTCCTCCAGATCGAGTACTTGGTCCTTGTCTAGCTGCGCAAATCTTACAACGTTGACACCATTTCTTAACATCTTCACAATAATCCACCCAGTAAAAACGGTCTCTCAGCTTGCTCATACTGTTACGGATTCCGTGGGTCCACTAATTTAAACTCACGATAAAATACTTAACGAATTTATTTTCTCACTTTATACACAATTACTAACTTATAACACACAACAACTAACTATTTATAAGATTCCTTCACCAAATTGTCCGATTTTCAATTTCCACGCGGTATATTCAAATTTCAAAAACTCTTAAACTTCCCCAACTGTCGTAAGCGCTTCTTTTATATAGCTGTGGTGAGTGTTTCGCGAACAATCTAAAATTATCGGGACGGGTCCGCCATCTACTAGTACATTCTATTGTCTGCCTCGCTTACTTGTCGACTTGATTAAGAGATGGCGCTACAACAAAATATTGTCTTCAGGTTTCTGGACACGTTGCGGTTTTAATTGCTCGCTTCTCCGACAGATGGCGCCACATACACCTTGACAATACTTTACGTTGGCACTTATACAAAACTCCTAAGTTTTTTTATTATAGGAGCTACATATGCGTGACGCACTGTTGCCGGGTCCGTATAAAGTATTAGAAACTACTTTGAACCTTGGCAGCCCCTACTTGCGGCAAATTTTTGTTAGGTACCCCTTATAACATCATCCGCAGAATAAAAATAGCTCTAATTTGACACATAAATGATCAAAAAAAATTATGAACGTAATGTCATCTTCAAAATCAGTTATTACTGGTTAATACTATTATCTATTAATTAAACATAGTTAAGCATAGTATAAGCGGCAACTTTATGATTGACCCCATTCATAAATATACATAAACATTCGGTTTTGATTAAAAATATGATGAGCGTAATAATATTGCAGCCGGATCCTGTACTATAATGAAATTAAAATAAAATTGAAGACTGTAATTTAACATTTTTTTAGGTTACATAACACTGGACGAACTAGCTGAAGCTTGCAACTTAATCAAAGAACACATGCCCTGCAACATGACAGAGGAACAACTGACTGAAATATGCCGAATGATGGATATCAACAAGGACGGTTTGGTTGATCTCAACGAATTCCTAGAAACTTTCAGGATGGTCGATCCCGAAAGCAGGCACAAGAATTTACCCAACAGCCCGGAGAATTCTCATTTAAACATCGGTAAAATTAAAAGGCCTAGTATAATAAGCGAACTCGGCCCAAAGGAAACTAATATGGAATCTAAATCGAAAGATATCTTGGAGAATAACAAAATATTCGAAGAGGCAACCAGTAAAATTGATGTTGATAAGAAGAATAATACATCGGAGACCAGTACTAATAACGAAAATATTGACAGATCGCCAGAAAAAAATGTTTCTCCCAATATGAAACGAGAAAAGGTATCATTAACAGCCCAAGTTCATAATACTGAGAGTAGCACCGAAGATGAATCTATTCCAGTACCGAAGGTACACAGTAACGAGCTCATGTCTTCTCCTGTGCTCAGTAGTAGAAGGGGATCCCAGATATAATGTTATTTTCGTCTCAGAAATATATCTTACTCTCTGTTATTAATGTTAAAAGAATTTAAGATAAAGGAATTAAGAAATTATATGAATATGTGTGAAAGTTACTTATATACAAAAATATGTTTAATATTTAATAAGATATATAGATTTGAAAAGTAAATATAGGAAGAAGATTAAAATTAATTTGAATTAATTAAATTTAAAGTCATATTTATTTATTTTAATATGAAATTATAATATTAATTATTTGCTATACATATTCTTTTAAACCTGTCAATTCCAAACTAAAATAAAATCATTATAATGGCATAAAAAAATGATTTCATAAAGCATTAAATACGTGTAGACTTCCTATATATTTTAAACAATAATGAATAAAAATAGAAAGTGTTTCGTGAATTCTCTATAGACTAGACTGTATTTGGCATTATACATTTTATTAAAATCAGTCCATACGAAATTTGATAACAAATTCATAAAACAACTGTGGTCACACTAGACGATTTATTACTGAAGCAGTACTATGTAAGATTATAAATTAATAGGAATGATGTTTTTCTACTATTTCCCCAAATATTCTGGTACTTACTTGCATGGCTTTTATATTCCACTTTGTAACAGAATATTAAATTTACGTTTATTTATTATTTCTTCATGATCCTCATCAATATTAATCTTATTTTTATATTTGAGACTTTCTACAAGCATTTTGTCCATTTTTCGAATTTTGGCAAACAAGGAAAAACTGCCACGCTTTTTGCAAGAAACTTACCGAAAAACTAGTATTCTTGAAAAATCGATAAAAAATCATATAAATAGTACACATACATGTGAAAAATCTAGTTTTGATGATATCTGAAAAAATTCAAAAAAAAACTGTTGACTGTCCTTTAGACGTGAAATTTCTTTTAATTTTTCTGCTGTCACAGTCTGTATCCACAACTATTATATTATTATCCCGAGTCGTAGTTCCATTCATTATTTTAAGTAGTATTATTCAAAAAAGAGAAAAGATGTACAAAAAAAGTCTTCATCTGCCAATGACAAACAAACAGCAGTATGTTCACAGCAGACAAGGACATATTTCTCTGTTTGTTTGTCTACTGCCAATGGACATACAGCACATAGAAAGTCTAAGGTATTTTCACCATTTAATTCGAATGGGATAAAATGTATTTAACACGTATGGTTTTTGGCATCATATTGTAACTCTATGTATGTAGTTTGCAATGCCACTTTTGGTTGAAAATCCTAAAAAATGGACAAAATGCATTTAGTAAGTCTGCTCCTCATTTACAGTCTTTAATAACTTGTTGGTTTGGCATGGAAAATGTACAGAAAATAAATCCTTAACAACAGTGGCGGATCCATGGGGAGGGGGTTTCAGGGGCTCAAGACCCCATTAGGTTCAGCCAAGTAATACGATATTATTAATTTATTTTATGAAAAACGACTCCGCAATATGTTCTTTGAGTAAATATTTATCTCTAGCATCCGCTCCCTTTCCGAATCCTGGCTCCGCCCCTGCTTAACAGTCTGTAGATTTTTTCCTCCATAATACCACTAAACTATTTTTTTCTTTAGTTGTGTTATTCATATTTACAAAATGTATTTAACACGTATAAAGTCAATATGACATTAAAAAAAATATTCATTTTAAATAATTTTGGCAACAATAAAGTCAATTTGACATTAAAAGATTGAATTTTAAGGTGGCATGTTTGTTATTCTAATCAGGATCGTATTATTTTATTGATTAATTTAGTATTTTTGTATTTCTCGTAACTCAAGAACGAATTCGTATAAATCATTCAAAATAAACAATTTGCTTCAACATAAGGAGTTCTTTAAAAAGTTTCAAATAAATTTTTCTGTAAAATAAAATGGGGAAAACTTATTCATCATTTTTAAAATTTACATGGAATTCCCTATGTCCATGTCGGGGATGCTATTCAGTCTTTATTTTTCTATTTTCATTTTAGTTTCTTGGCTAATTTACTCTTTCGGTTCTTGGACAAAAGCGCTTTGTATATACTATATTATTGTTTAATTTATTTGTCTGCTGATAATGTTTTATTTTCTAGTGTATGATCAATAATTTATCGGAATATTGCCGCTAGTGTTGGATGTGTCCAACTTTTGATCTTATTTTTGTTTATATTATTAAGTATTTAATGACAAATCACTGGTGGTCGTTAAATGTGGTAAATATGTTTTTGAATATACAGAGTGGTCCGAACTGTATTCCGGAAACTTCGGCAGCATATTCTGCAGTTAAAAATAAGCAAAAAATTCGTATAAAGTTATGTTCTAAAATGGTTAGTTTCGGAGATACAGGGCGTGGAGATTTTATTTGTATTTCGCGTTGTATTCCCAATAATTTCTGAAGTAACGTCAATATTTGGATGAAAATTGGTGTCTGGAAGTTTTTTGACATGAGAAATTTGATTTTGATGTCAATATGACTCCTATTTGTAGGTGGCGCCACCTACACGTGTTTTAACTGTCTTAAGAATAATAAGTTTTCTTTCCTACCTGTACAAAACTATCGAGTGAAAAAATATAGATTTCCGTCCCTTGGTAAAAATCGCTAAGAGCAATCGTTCTCAAGATATTTAGAATGGAAATAGTCAATGCATGTCATTATTGACGAAAAATAAACACTTAAAAAAATAAATTTAATATCTGTTGAACTTTTGCCACAAAAACATTTCAAATTTATAATCTCTCTAACTATTTAGTCAACATGTTTAATTATTTATGTCAATGATGACACGTATTCGTGTTAATAATTTCGATTCCAAATATCTCGAGAACCATTACTCGCAGCAATTTTCACCAACAGACCTTTTTTACGTAAAAATTGACGGAAATGTATATTTTTTCACTCAGTAGTTTTATACAGGTACGAAAGAAAAATTATTACTCTTAAAAGAGTTAAAACACATGTAGGTGGCGCCAACTACATAGGAGTCAATCAAAATGACATCAAAATCAAATTTTTCAGACACCAATTATTTTAATCCAAATATTGACGTTTAGACCATGGGCCACAAATATAAAATCCTCCCCTCCCCGTGGGAATTTGTGTGTGGGAATTTTCTTTGTTTGTTTTGCCATATAATTTAAGATTTTAGTTGTTTGTCTCATATCAATTACAGCATAGTCCGGAAAAACACGGAAAACCGCAGAAAAACGGTAAAATTTTTCACTTAGTTTTTGATGGTGTGTTTATTGGGGAAATAGCTAAAAAAGTAAATCATCAGGTTTCAAATTCTTAATTTTATTTATTTATAACATGAAAAAAACACAGAATTTTAGATTATAGATGCATGCATATGAAAATAAACGAATCAGAAAATTCCAAAGTTCCATCTGTAATCAATAGCTTTCTTTTTCATCTTCATCATCCTCATGCAGTATATCAGTAAAGTTAAAGAGGCCTGGTTCATCTCCATCTTGAAACTCATCTGGATGATAGCTTTTCAAAACATCAGATAGTTCGTGCGGCAACGGAACCCCTTTGATCCAATCAATCTTCAGTTGTCCATTTTCCAATTTCCAGCCACTGGACTTAGTGTTATGGGCTTAGCGACGTGGGCATTATTCCATATGTAGCGCTGGTAGTTTACACTACGGATCTGGTTTTCAAGAGAAGCTTTAATTTAGATTTTACCTACAACTTTCCACGCTGAACAAAAGAACTGGTGGTGTCACATCCTGATAATGCATGCATATTCAACATAGCATGACTCTTTGCTGCACCTAAATCCCCAGAAATAGTGGTGACATTAATGACCCTTCGTTTGTTTCCAATCCCTGCCCTGTATCAAACGGTAAAACATTTTCAATTTCGTTGGCGTACCTTAACAGCAACATAAAAACATCTGTGTCGGGCGACCTAATTCTGATAGGCAATTTATCTTGAAAAGATTGAGAAGCATGGAAGCAATGTAAAATAATTTTAGTATCCGTTTCCTCTTGCGAAGAACATAGCTCTCCTTGTACAGTACAATTTACAGTTAAACCGTCTTCGCTAGTAAACAACGTGCACTGATCATTGTGTGATAAGTAAACGTTTTTACCATGAAAATAGTGGGCATATTTGTCTTGTTTCCATTCATTATACACAAGGTTGACCAGTTGTTTTTGCCGTTACTGAGGATTTTTTTCCGATCGCGAGGTATTTTGGTCTTGGACCCTTTTATTAGGAATATTTCCCCACAACCTCTTCTTAGCCTTTCAATGTTTTTAATAGATATATCTAAGTAAGTATCTGTCACAAAATCTATCCTTATGTTATTTTGGAAAGCAACTTAATATTATCTCGGCAAGCTCACCAAAAGTTTCTGGAATGTTATTGAGAGCTTGAAAGTGGGCCATGCCATCAATTATATAAACGCTGACTATTTACTGAATTTTTGTTTTTTTGTCTTGTTTAAAAAATTAGTTTATTAAAAAATGTTTAAAGGTTAATTTTTTTTTTCATTTTTCCTCAGTTTTCTACGTTTTTTCGGGCTATGCTGTAATTGGCATTAGGCAAACAGCTAAAACCTTAAACTACATGGCAATACCAAGCAAAAAATATTTAGCTCGCAAATTCCCACGGTGGGGGGATGGGGGGTATATACGAGCCTTCGCTCTAGTTACTTCAGAAATTATTTGGAAACAATCGAAATAAAAATTAAACTTCAACACCCTGTATCTCCGAAACTAAGCATTTTAGAACATACATTTGGGTATACGAACTTTTTTACTTATTTTTGTCTGCAGAATATGCTGCCAAAGTTTCCGGAATACAGTTTGGACCCCACTGTATATTGTTTGTGGATAATACAATTTATTACGTTTATGGATCTCTTCATCAGAACTCTTTTGCGTCCTTCCTGCAGGCTTATTTTTGAATAACGTTATTGGTCCGGGGGATATTGTTGTCTTGAAAAAATTATAGTAATATTTTTCCTCTTTCATTTCTATCTGGACAAAGTTTCCAAGAATTTTTCTCAGAGCCTATACTCCAATTTTTGCTTGAAGTTACCTCATATTTATGATTGTGAAATGTGTAGGATTTCCTTAAAAGATAGGATTTAAATAGATGTAGAATGTAGAAGAATGGGTTGAATGAGTTAGAGGGTAGGTAAATCACCGCGACCTTAAAGATTTATTGCGTCCCCTTTTCTTGAGTTATAGCTCATCATACAATCTATAACTCATCATACATGGTAGTATTTCCCATCCTCCTCTGACAACAGATGTTCATACTCCGAGGAGTGGAATCTACATTCTACGAGGTTATACAGCCTTCCACGGTTGGGGTTTATCTCTCCGTGCTCTTGACAGTCGAGGAGCTTGTCTCCGGCCCCTCCACCCTTAGGTACCCGTGAGGTGGAGGCTGGGGGATTTGTCTTCACGTTCTCCACCTCTTTAACTTGGTCTCTCCTTTGTCCTGATACAGGTGTGGTCCCGCATATATAATAGAAGATATATCCCGCTTTCTTTGTTGCCTCCTTGGATTTGAGTTCAATTAGTCAAGGGTTAGTCGGTCCACTTCTACAGAGCCCCGCATGTAGAAGTAAGGGAGACGAGAATACAATGAGTTGCAAATTGTTGCATAATTTTTGTTACACTGTAGTTAGACGGTTAGTTTTAAGTTACTCTTGAAAAAGTCCTAGCAAACCGACACCGTGTTGATATTTAATTACACTCTTGAAACTTAAAACATCTAAAAGCATGTTTTTTTTTAAATACTAATATTTCAACGATGTATCACAAAGACCCAATTACACATTCAGTACTATTTAAAACTACTACATTGAACAATGAACAGCTATAATTATTTTTTTTTGAAATCTCCTAAAATGTCATGTAAAATATCGTTCTAAATTTTTAAAAACTATAAAATTGATATATTTTTATACTATAATTTTTGTATAAGACACATATTAATTTTTTATATTTACTAAAATGCGTTAAGAATAGGCATGTGTGTTAACTATAAAAGCATGTCTAAATATGAATGAAATACGTATCTATCAGCAATATCTTTACTAAACAGCAAACTATTAAATATTAAAAATATAAAAGACATCCAGACATTAACCTGGCGACAAATATATGTAAGAGATTTATAGGAATGTAGATAAAATTCTTCTTTAATTAGATTATGTTTTTTAAAATGTTCCTCTGAGTTTTAACTTAATATAGTAGGTAATGGTTTATTTCTATGTCTCTTTATGGAGAAATAAATTTTATTGTTTTAACACTCATAGCACTTTCTTTCTAGAAGAAAAACTTTTTATATATCTATAAATTCATAATAAAACATAAAAATATTTTTGTATAAAAGTTACCTTTATTGCTGTTATAATATTTAAGGAATACTCTCCTATTTCTATTTAATCAAAGAAATATGTTATAGGGTGTGTCAAATGAAAATTTAGTATTATTCTTTACTTTATATGTCTAGATGTAAGTGCCCCTAAATGTTAAGTCGTAGTTTTGTAAAAGGAAAGTTGTTAGAACTTTCTGTTGCTTCCAAACTACCCCTATTCAATATTTTATTATAGCAACCATCGTTATTTTAGCACACCCTATATATAGTTTTGTATTAAAATGAAAAGTGATTTATCTTGATTATATTCTGTTATTGTTTTTGTCTTTTTTACTATTAATATTAAATCTTGAAAATTCTGATATCATTATTAATAAACCCTAAAAGGAAATTTATAACTGTAGTTTTATTTTAGATTATAATAATTAACAAGTTCACTATTTAAAAGAGGTTATTTTATTTTACCATTTTATATTACTAAAGCTAATTCATAAATCTTGTTATTTGCTACTTTTCATAACAATTATGAACCGGTGTATGTATAACTTTAATTATTAAAGTTATACATCATCATCATCAACATCATTTAGCTTATACCGTCCACTGCTGAACAAAAGCCTCCCTTAACTCTAGCCATTTCCTTCTATTTTGTGCCACTTGAATCCAGTTTCCAGCCACCCTCTTAATGTCATCTGTCCATCGATTAGGAGGTCGTCCTCTGCTTCTATAGGCCTCGTGTCTCCGTCTCCATTCCACAAGTCTCTTTATCCACCGTCCATCTGTCCGAGTGTCAAATTAAGGGTTGTTTTTATTTTCTCAAAGCCCCACGCTTATGGGTGCCAAATAAGGTATAACGTTTTTTTAAACATTACCACTGCGAACGGCAGCTTTTCATCAGTAGAGCAGTCGTGGATAAGGTATTTCACTAAAGAAAAACTAATTAACAATAAAAAATCAAAAATATAAATATTGGGCGCCAGGCATGAACAGAGAAAGAAAACACAATTGTATATTACTTAAAATTAATGACTATATTTATTCAGGATGGACTCTGACGGTAAATAACATTGTAAAGCTTTTGCAATTATAGTGGTTATATGTCAAAGAAATTTTTGTTAAAAATAATATTAAATATGTTTAATGAAAAACTATGGAAAAACACCATATAGATAGAGCTATTAAAAATATATAAAAGTTAGCATTACTTTAATCAATTTGTTATATTTTATACAATATTAAACCTGAGATGTTGCAAGACATAGATTCCAGAATCTGTCCGGTTATTTATCTTTAAAATTACGCAATAGATATCTACAGGAAGTAATACTATTACAAGATATGTTCCTAATGAAACCTAAAGATCTAACCATGTTCGTAAACACTAAATTCATATAGATATAATAACCACTATTAGTAAATTATTCAAGATACCACTATTAGTCAATTATTCAAGTACGTTATTGTCCGAGGGCTCAATAATAAACAAAGGCAACTGTCCTTTCTTCCAATCAACATTCTGGAGGACAAAAGCAAAAGAACACCGACGAGCCAGCAAAATACAAATACGAGTGAACTTGGGCCAATCCAAAACTCTACCCTAAAAATACGCAGTAATAATATCGAATCTAAAAAGATAATATCTCATCTTTACCTGTAGCTTCGAAATAGCCGCTGATTCAGATTATTCAGCGAGATTTAAATAATGCCCATTTCTAAAAGCCGGGTTGCTGATGGCGACAGAGCGGCCAAAACAAAAGTGATGTTAAAGCGCAGAGAGACGCCTTGAAACGATGTTGACAGCCCTCCACAGAAGCAGTGAAACGATAACAGGGTTGTCGACTAGAGAACGTTAAAACTACGCCAAGCGTGTCAAATAAATTATCAGGCCTGAAGGATACGGAATCCGGTGACGATACGCCAGACATCATAATATTGTCAAGAAAAATGGCGTATCCGCCAGAAATTAAAAATGTATTACTGGTTGCCTGCACAACCGCAACGTATCCGCCAGAAATTAAAAGACTTTTTCAGGCGCCATCTTTTAGTCAAATCGAGAAGTAAGGGAATCAGAGAATGGAATTGTCTGGTATGAAGAAGTACGCTTTCCGAGAATTGGGGAAATTTCGAGAAGCAGTCAATAGAGTATATAAGCCGGAGCCATCGACAACTGAGACAGTTTTTGAAATTTGAATATACCGCGTGGAAATTGAAAATCGGACAATTTGGTGAAGGAATCTTATAAATAGTTAGTTTGTTGTGTGTTATAAGTTAGTAATTGTGTATAAGTGAGAAAATAAATTCGTTAAGTATTTTATCGTGAGTTTAAATAGTGGACCCGCGGAATCCGTAACAATTGGTGTCAGAAGTGGGATTCAAGAGGATTTTAAGAAGAAATTAAGTGGATTAGAAGATTTTTAAACCGAATTAGAGTATTTTTATGGTTGGTACAAGGGAGCAGGCGAAGAAAATGGAGGAAGTAAGCAAATTATTGGGCGATTTTATGGAGAATATGAGAAGAGAAAAGGCAGAAGAACAAGAGAGGTTGCGAAAAGAGAAAGAAGAGGAACAAGACCATCTACAGAAAATACTTATGGAAAATCAAGAGAAAATGTTAGAAGGTTTAGAAGCCCGTCAAAAGAAAGAGAAACAGGAAGAACAGGACCGGCTTGAAAAAAATTTCCAAGATTTGAAAATTCAACGACAACAAGACAAAGAAGAAGAACAGGACCGGCTTGAGAAAATTTTAGGCAATTTAGAAATTCGTCAGAAGAATGAATGGAGGGAAATTTTAGAAGATATAGAAACGCGCCGCCAGAAAGAAAGACAAGAAGATCAGGACCGTCTTAAGAAAACTTTAGAAAATCAAGAAATTCGACTTCAGAAAAGCTTGGGGGAACAGCAACAAGCAATGTTGGAAGTACGTTGCCAGGAACAGCAGAACCACTTCCAAGAAGCCGTAGAAGATCTGGAGGAGCGCCTTCAGCAGAAAATGGAAAAATTAGAGATGGACCTACAGAAGACCAAGGTACAAGTAAGGACACCTGGCGTTTCTGGAACTGCGAACCTCAAGGCACCGACCTACGATGGACAAACCACCTGGACGATGTACCACCGCCAGTTTGAAGCAGCGGCTGCTGCCAATGGATGGACTGACCAGGAGAAAGCAGCGGCACTTGTCATCGCGCTGCGTGGCTCTGCCCTGGAACTCCTGCAAACTATTCCTGCAGCCCAACAGCAGGAATATCAAACTTTGGTCGCTGCACTGGACAGAAGATATGGCGACCAACATCGACGCCAACTTTACCAGGCCCAGATCAAGACACGCCTGCAGAGGTCCGGAGAGAGTCTGCAGGAATTCGAAGCAGACTTACGTCGGCTGGTACACCTAGCGTATCCTGAAGCACCGGAAGGATTTATGGAGGAACTCGCTGCTCAGTGCTTTATCAGCGGACTGAGGGACAACGAATTACAGAGGGCGCTGCAAATATCCCGATTTTCTACCAGCAGCGAAGCACTCGTCAGGGCGCTGGAAATCGAAGCTGCTTTTAGCGCCATCCCTAGACCGAAGATAAGATCGGTAACGGTCGAGGAACAGCCCGAAAGCATTCACAGAGGTTTGGAGGAGATGTGTAAGAAAGTCGACAAACTATGTGAGCTACTAATAAACAAGGGAGTCATCAACAACCAGACAGAGAACCAGAGAAGATTCCAGGATATGAGGTGCTATGGATGCGGCAGGAATGGCCACATCAAACGGGATTGTCGCATCCAAATGCGATTCCATTCACCATCCAGAGAACATCGGCACATCGGAAGATCCCAGGACATAAGTTGCTATAGATGTGGCAGGAATGGCCACATCAAACGGGATTGCCGCGTCCAAATGCGATTCCGTTTACCATCGAGAGAACATAGGCACCAGGAAATCAACACTAATGAGCGAGTATTGGCTGAAGAAAACAGAGCCCCTAGGATGTTTTCCGTTAGAGTCTAGGAAAAACCGCTGACAGTTTGGTGATCAACGGAAGGTCAATGGTAGAAGAATTCGAATGACTCTGGACACAGGCGCTATGGTATCATTGGTGCGAACTAACTCAGTGCAAGGATTGAAGATGATGCCTCTTAGAAGAAGAGTGTATTTACGTACAGTTACGGGGAAATGGCCGTTGTACGGGGAGAGGCTTCATGGAATTGAAGTTAGGGAATTTGAAGTTTCGGCATAGCGTTTTAGTGGCAGACATTGAAGATGATTTTATCATGGGTATGGATGTGATCAGTCAACATGGTTTTTCGTTCGATCACCATAGAAACATCCTGAAAATCGGAAATGAGGAATTTTCTTTATCTAAAGAGAAGAGACCAGGAAATATGGAAGAAAGATCATCGAAAATTGTGATGATACCTGGTGATACCAAGAAGACTGTGTTCGGGAAGCTAGAGAAAACCGCTGGGTGCCGTGTAGGACGGGTACAAATTATCGACAACGACCTAGATCGACGACGAGCTACCTTGGACAAGAAAATGAAACATCGTGAAAGCACTATCAGAGTAAGGAATTTTAAATTGAGAACTGACAAACAATGGACGACGATACAATTGAGGAAAGATCAAATGAAAGATCCAGACATCGGAGCAATACTACGGATCAAGGAAGGTAACGGCGAGAGACCACCGTCGCAGGATATTGCGGACAGAGGGCTGGTTTTCAAAGCTCTCTGGGCTCAGTGGAATTCACTGGTGATTGAGAATGGATTGTTAAAGCGCACGTGGAAAGTGCGGATGGCAGGACCGTAACAACTCAGTTACTGGTACCAAGGAAGAAAGTCACCCAGGTATTGGAAGAAATTCATGGTGGTAGAACTGAGCCCATCTTGAGTAAACAAGACCTTGAGCAAGCTGAGAGATCGTTTTACTGGGTGGATTATTGTGAAGATGTTAAGAAATGGTGTCAACGTTGTAAGATTTGCGCAGCTAGAGAAGGACCAAGTACTCGATCTGGAGGAAAAATGGAACAAGATAACGTTGGACTGTCGTTCGAAAGAATCGTTAGGAAGGAAAGATTATTGGGGATTCATAAGTAAGATTACGCTAGCCAGTGACCGGATGAAAGCTCGTTACGACCTCAGAGCTAATTCTACGGGATTTCGACAGGACGATAGGGTATGGTTGTATAACCCACAGCGCAAGAAAGGGAGGTCCCCAAAGTTAACTCCAGCATGGGAAGGTCCTTATACAGTCATCAAGAGGATAAATGATGTTGTGTACCGGATTCAACGCAGCCCTAGAAGTAAGATGAAAGTAGTTCATCTGGATCGATTGAAGAGATACCAGACAGGAAACCTTGATCGGGACGATCAAATTTGAAGGGGCAATGTCAAGAAAAATGGCGTATCCGCCAGAAATTAAAAATGTATTACTGGTTGCCTGCACAACCGCAACGTATCCGCCAGAAATTAAAAGACTTTTTCAGGCGCCATCTTTTAGTCAAATCGAGAAGTAAGGGAATCAGAGAATGGAATTGTCTGGTATGAAGAAGTACGCTTTCCGAGAATTGAGGAAATTTCGAGAAGCAGTCAATAGAGTATATAAGCCGGAGCCATCGACAACTGAGACAGTTTTTGAAATTTGAATATACCGCGTGGAAATTGAAAATCGGACAATTTGGTGAAGGAATCTTATAAATAGTTAGTTTGTTGTGTGTTATAAGTTAGTAATTGTGTATAAGTGAGAAAATAAATTCGTTAAGTATTTTATCGTGAGTTTAAATAGTGGACCCGCGGAATCCGTAACAATATATTATATATAAAAGACATGTAACGAACTAAAAACGTTACTACTTAAGTCATAAAAACGACTTAAATAACGTTATATTGATTTAACAAGTTTATACAAAATTTGTCTTGAAATAAAGTGACTTAAGTCAAAGATTTAGGACGTAAATCATTTGAACTTTATGTTGAATTTTACTTAAGACTTAAATTATTTTGATTTGACTTAAGTCTTTTGAAGACTGACTTGTTGCCGTTCTGTTTCAGATGAGCTGCCATTTTTGTAAGGAATTGAAGTCAAATCTATCATAAAATGTTCCTCATTTGTCTTTTGACAAAAATAATCAAATATTTTTAATGATTACTGATGTGTTACTAGGTACCTACTTAAATACTTTATTCTGTATATGTGTATATGCGAATTTTTATTTTGTAAAAGTAGCTTGCAATTGCTTACTATTATTATATAATTTAGCATTTAAATCGAGGCGATTAAAACAAAAGCATTTGTTTTAAAAAAATATAATCTTTATTTTTTCGTTATAAAGTACAGTGACTTATTTCAACTTTTGTTGGGAGGATTGAATTTCTTAATTGTCTCGAACAACATATCGTAAACCATTGCTTTTACATCGATGGCAGTAACGAAATCCAGATGATTAAAAGCCTCATACTCTAATAAATGTGATACAACAACGTTGGGTAGCTGTTGAAATAAATGTTCCACATCCTAAAATATAAGACAATTGACTTAGTTTTATAATCAATTTCAATATAAAATTAGTTTTAGTAAATACTATATTTCAACAATATTGCTACATTTCTCGTTCAATTTCGGATCTGTTAAGTTAACTTATATTTGAATTATGAGACATATTGGGCAGTATGTATGTAAATCATTTTCAAGCAACCAACAAAGGAATAGAGTTTCTAGAAACGCCACATGTTGTGACCAAATATGACTTAATACTGAATTACATAATATTCAAACGGATTTACTGTATAATGGTTACTTACTCACGACAACATTATATGGAACTGTTGGAATTGTAATTGGTGCTCAGAAAGCTCAAATTTCAACTTTACAAAACAGAGAGTATCAAAGCCTAAAACTACCGGTGTTAAGAGTATATTTTGATCAGAAGCTTACATGGAATACCTACATGACAAAAACTACACAGTAGGCTTGCTACAACCTAGGCAAGTGCAGAAGGATGTGTGGAAAAAAACTGATGAGGACTCTATCGTTAAACACTAGAGTTAGAAGAGATATGATAACCTCATTGATAACGGGTCGGTGGTGTAGTAGACAAAGTCATTTCAAGTGGGGGCAATAAGCCTGTTTTACACAAAGGTTTGCTTGTGTCTAATGGGGAACATGAAAACCACTCCCACAAACACGATTGAAGTTTTGTTGAATGTACCAACATAACAGATTTTTATGCAAGGTGATGGCAGATCTCTCATAGACATTAGCCAGAAGAATGGTGCTGAAAACCAGAAACTAGTCGAAGAACTAAAAGCAGACAAGGTATATAGCACTAAAAGAGTTTCGGATTTCCATTGTCTTTATTTGTTTTGCTTAGACAACGTTTCGGTCAGAAGTATCACTGACCGTTATCAAGTGTGAACTAAACTTAATCCTAAAACTACTGAGCTTATACCGGGTGTTGCATCGTCGAACGGGACATAGGAAATTCCATGTAAATTTTAATGGGGTCAATTATTGGCTTCCCTAATTATTTTAGAGAATAATTCTATTTAGGTTTATCGAAGAGCACTAAAACCCACATTCAAAAGAATAATTTTAGATATTTTTGATTAGCTCGTTTACGAGTTATCGCCGATTTCTTTTTAAATATTTCTCCTTTCTTATGGCCCTGTATTTATTTATGAGCACCAGTCAAGGTAAAAGATAACTGTCAAATGAAGTTGTCATTTCAGAAATTTACCTATTTAGTGCTTTATTATTGTTGAAAACTCATTCCTACATCGGAAATCTTAAAGATGTATTTATAAATACAAATTAATATGAATTAAAGTAAAATAAAATAATCAATTACAAGGTTAATTATAGTATTATTACAATATTCAATAACTTATTAATTTAGGTACTATTAAATTGTTAGAACTTTAGGATTTAAGAAGATGTTCGAATATTCCTTCATCGACTGCTAGACAATAACCCAGGCGATCATAAAATTCTCTTCTTACATTCGCTAGTTGGTAAACTGAAATTCTGTAGCATTCGGCAGAAATAGCATTTTTTAACTCGTCTAGATTTGTTTTTTTTTTATTCTTGTATATCCTGTTTTTTAAATGGCCCCAGAGAAAGAAATCATTTGGCGAAATATCAGGAGACCTTGCTGGCCAATTTACTGTATGATTTAGGCCAACAACGTTTCCGTTAAAACTATTGTCTAGATATTTCCGAAAAGCCAGGGTACTATGTGCCGAGCAGCCATCCATTTGGTACCAAACTTCCTGATTTTCCCTAGTGGCATCATGTAAAGCAGGTAAAATATGATTCTCGAGAAGTTCCAAATAATATTCTACATTTAAATTTCGCATAAGAAATAATGGCCCGATAATATTGTGTCCGAATATCCCTGCCCAAACATTTACTTTCTGTGAATATTGCGTCCTTGTTTCGACAAACCTGTGTTGGTTTTCTTTGTTCCAATATCGATAATTTTGAACATTGGGTTCATTATTTAAGGTAAACGTGCATTCGTCAGTGAAACATATGTTTTTTAAAAATTCCCTATCCGTGTTTGCTCTTTCCATCATATCAAAACAAAACGCCTGCCGCCGTATTTCGTCCCCATCTCGTAGCTCTTGGTGCTTTTCATATTTGAAGGAATAGTATTTATGTTGTTTCAAAATTCGAAACGCTGTAGTGTGATTTGCTATTCCTATTTCATCCTCAAATTTCCTTGTGCTGATCTTTCCATCGTTCTCTTCCACGCACAATAAAACTTCCAAGTCGGTATCATTTCTTGCATCTTCTCTTTGTTCCTGCCTTGCTTCACATCTACAGTTATTTATTAGGGTACCTTTGGTCTCAAATATCTGGATATTCCTTGCGATTGTAGATTTTCCAGGTATCGGTCTATTCGGATACAGAGCAGCAAACACGTCCGACACATTTTGATAACTACCGTATGATCGAATAAAAACCTAAAAACCTTTACCTTGACTGGTGCTCATAAGTAAATACAGGGCCATAAGAAAGGAGAAATATTTAAAAAGTAATCGGCGATAACTCGTAAACGGGCTAATCAAAAATATCTATCTTATGTGGGTTTTAGTGCTCTTCAATAAACCTAAATAGAATTATTCTCTAAAATAATTAGGAAGCCAATAATTGACCTCATTAAAATTTACATGGGATTTCCTATGTCCCGTTCGACGATGCAACACCCGGTATACTAAAGCTGAGCACCGTAAATTTGTTGGGTGCAGTCAAGCATGAAGTTTTCCACTAAAACACCTGCGTTGGAATTACATACTTGGATTGCTAAATATTTTATTATTGTAAGAAATGAATACGGCCTCTTTAAATTTGTTTTGTCTGTAACAGTCTGTGATACTTCTAACCGAAACGTTGTGTAAGCAAAATAAATAAAGACCCAAACTCTTTGTTTTAATACTGAATCATTGTATACCAAATTCAAAGTACACAGTATACAGTAGAAAAGGTATTGAAAATACCGCCAGAAGCAACAGCTACAAGGTATAGCTTTAACAAAAATAAAAAAATATAATTATATCAGTGAGAGAGACCGGATAAAATGGTGTACTCATTCAAGTTAAGGCAAATTTGAAAACGCTAAGCGCTTTTAGACGCTCAGCGTATATGATGATAATTTTCGCTGAGCGCACACTTAATTAACGATTTCTGTATTCTCGTCTGACGCGCTTAGCGTCTTTACTGATTGCGCAGAGCGCTTTGAAAACGGTTGTCTTAAAGGATCGTTTTGCTTGTCGAAATGTCAGTGAAAATCGAAAAAATTGTGATTTTGTGCGTTATCTTGCTCTTTAGTGATAATTACTACTTCTTCTATAAATTTCTCAATAAGTAATTGATAATTTACGACTTGGCAGCTATAAATATTGTTCAAAACATCGAAAATACTGTGAAGAGTCTTCATCACTTCCCTCGTATAATAAGAATAATGACATATCCATAGAAAAATAGCTTGACATAACTCAACAATAAGTTATGAAATTTACGTAACATTGACATTTTTCATTGTTGCATCCGTCAGTTATCAACTTTTGACTATTAGCTACTTAGAAATTGTGATGTTGCCAATATGTGCTCAACCCGTATCCAGAACACGATTTGCATGGCAACGAGAATACCAAAATCGACTGCCTTGCGTTTCGCTGATCGAATACTTACGCTCACCGCTTTGAAAGAGTAACGTTTTTATGTCAAAGTTACAGAATACGGGCCCTGGGCCCGATGTTTTGAACGATATTTAGAGCTGCCAAGTCGTAAATTACCAATTACTTATTGTGAAATTTATAGAAGAAGTAGTAAGACAGTTCGACAAGCAAAACGATCCTTTAAGGCAACCGTTTTCCAAGCGCTTAGCGCATTCAGTAGAGACGTTAAACGCGTCAGACGAGAATACCCAAACCGTTAGTTAAGTGCGCACTCAGCGAAAATTAACGTAAGATACGCTGAGCGTCTAAAAGGGCTTAGTGATACAGAATACGAGCCCTGGTATATAGACCGTCCAAAAACGTCGGAAGGCTTAGAAACTGAAATATTAGTACTGAAACAAGGAATGTTTCCCCATAAACCTATCCAAGAATATCACAATTTATTATTTGGCCCTTTCTTACAAGATATTGAACCTCATCGCTGGATGAACTGGCTGCTTAACTGATGCTTATTTAGCAACAAGAATGCCCAGTTTAGTCTCCTTCGATTATGTCGCCTCCAGACAAATCAACCAAATCGACGACGTTTGCTAGTAGTTATGTAAATAAAATCAGTAACTATTGCAAAATGGGATACTATAAAGCAATAATTTTACACCGACCGAAAAAAACTATTTCAAGTTTAATCTTGTTCTTCTGGTGCCGTCCGCTTCAGTAGCGTGTTGGCGTTCATATGGTCACTAGGCACGATCTTTCTTTAGCCAGATATAAAGAGTGCTCTCGTCAGCTCTTCTCAATGTACATACGCATTTTTTAGCAGGGCTATAGTTTGAAGAGCATTCTACAGCCGTACACCCTGCTTTATGTACGAATTTTCTATTTAAAGCTTGTCAGGTCAAGGACACCACCCATTAGTCGACCGGTTTTGGAGTTGAATTAGTTGCACGAAGGCCGCTAGATTGCGTTAACATCTAGTTCTCGCTATAGACAAGTACTGCCATGTCAAATACGTTTGAATAAAAAATTTATTTAAACGTATTTGTGCAATGTACTTGACGTGCGTTTTCTGTTTGGAGATTGCCAGGTGGAGGTAGACTACCAAAGTCGTCCTGATGATGGAGTATAACTCCGAAACCGGTCGAGGAATGAGTGGTCTGTGGTCTCATTGGCCGTGTTGACCTGACAAGCCTTAAACAGAAAATTCGTACATAAAGAAGGGTTATGGCTGTAAAATGCTTTTCTTCTACAGTGTCAGCATTCGCAATGTTCACCATTCACGGATATTGCGAAGTCATCCACAAAGACAAACAAATAAAAAGAGACTGGCAAATTAAATGGCAAAGAGTGGGACAACGTTCCCGTAGCGCAACTCAGAACGCAAAATTTCGTTCTATTTATGTTGATCTGCCCATTGCGTTTATTGGGCCCACTATCTCATTCTAATATAACAAGAGAGAAAGAAGCAGCCATATAAAACGTAATTTCTAAATAGAAATTAGAACAATCACCTTTCGTTTTCGTCATCATGACAACCAAGATGACAACATCATGACAATTCGTCATTCGTTAATTTTTCTTTTGGTGATTTACCTTTTTTTCTAAACTCTCCATTTTATTGACTTATGAATATGGATAGGGAACAAATTTCTTTTTTCCATATAGGTATTTATATTTTGTTACTTATAATTTTAGGTTCTACTATTTGTTATTTTATTTGCTGCAGGAGCCAGTATCATCTATTTTCTATATGTATTGGTGCCCCCTTTCTCTGATAGATATGTTAAAAAAACCCGATAAAATAAAAGTAAGTATATAGTTATATTTAGCATCTTATTAAGAAAAAAGTAGAAGTAGTAGTGTCAAAAATATTTCGAACCTCTCTTAACATAACAAATTAATACAATTAATTTTTTTCATTTTTTGGGTAGGTAATTTATGGCTGGTTTATAGTAACCAGGAACTTTAGGCTTCGGTGAACTATCCTGACACACGATTTTTCTTAGAAAATGCAGTTTATGTTACCTTAAAATGAACTTCTTGGATTCTTTGACTAAAATCTGATGCGGAAAAACACGTTTCACATAAAAAATATTCTTAAAAATGTTGTTATTTGATTTTTATAGCAAATTCCAGGGCAAATTCCATAACCGATAATGAAAGAGCAGCGGACTTGTTTATATCCGTTTCTATGTTTACGCTGACAGTAGTGAAGGTCGAATTTTGACAAATATTGCGAATTGATACATGGTTGTCACATCAGCTAGTAAATTATGCGGAATTTCATGCCTCTTTTTTGTTTAGGGAAAAAAAATGACTTTGGAAATGGTTTTAATTTGTTTTAATGCGAATTAGATTACTTTAGTTTATCAAATTGGCTGAATTACCGCGCCGGAGAGACAATTGCTATAGTTATAGCTCTAGCAATGAAAACACGCTGTAAGCTGGAAGCCATCATAGCAAAGAAAACACGCTGTAAGCGTGTTTTCAATTCTTTGGTTTGTGTCTGACTCGGGTTGAGTTGGTTTGGTATTGGTCGGTTTGGTTTTGTATTGGTTGGTTTTCGATTGGTTGGTTTTGTATGGGTTGGTTAGGGTTTGGTCGGTTTGGTTTGGGTTGATTTGGCTGTTTTTTTTTATCAGTTTGATTGATATTTCGGTTTAAACAAAAGCGAAACAAAAGCCACCAAAACACGTGTAAGCGTGTTTTGGTTGCTTTTGTTTCACTCTTCTGTTGTTTTTTAGTTTTCCTATTCACACATTACCAACGCATTTTTATTATTAAAAATGGCTATTTTTTCAAAATAAAAATACAAAACAGAAAAAGAAAATTCAGTGGAACTGGCAACATTGCTTTTCCTTTTATCGCTGTCATGTTAAATCAAGTGTTAAAATTCTCCGTAACATCAAATATGTGTCAAAAACTACTAAAATTAAATGAAAATATTCTGTGCATAATCTCCATTTATTTTTATTTAAAACTACTACTAATAATGGTTACTTTTTGATAAAAAAAAAGAAAAATGCAAAAATCATGTGTCAGGATAGTTCACCGGACCCGGAACTTTATTAATATCTGTGTTAATATACCTATTTTACTTTTGTTTTAGGATTAAAACTGGACTTGAAAATGGTTCAGGATCATGATTCTCGTAAAGTCTACTTTGCTTGGATATTCACTTTGTTATTTTTCGAAAATGAGATTTTTAATGCCCTTTAAAAAAATTGGCCGATCGTTTCCTGCAACAGTCTTCTTCTGCATTTAAAATTGGTAGGTGGGTGGAATAAACACTGTTATTTTTTGTTATTATATTATGGAAAGTTTATTTATTTTTATGTACAAATAAATATGTTTATAAAACCGTACAATTTTTGCTTTTTTTATAATTTTCCTTATAATAGTAGTATTCCTTCGTTCTGAAAGAAACTGCAAATTTTCACTTAAACTGATTTATTCTCTACACCACGTTCTCTTTACGTGGTATAGGGAATAAATCAGTTTAAGTGAAAATTTTCAGTTTCAGAATGAAAGAATACTGCTAATAATGGGTAATTTAAATTTTCGCCAGCCAGAATGTGCGATAATGTCTTACGATGCGTTTTATACCTATCTCTTTCTTTTTCATATAAAGTACACATAATAAAGACGTACGTCCTGCCATGGTCCTGCTAATTAGTTTCAAAATTGTTATTCTGGGTTGCGCTACGGGAACGCGGTCCCACTCTTTACCACGGGATTTGTCAGTCTCTTTTTATTTGTTTGTCTATGGGTGTACCTAGGACCTAGCAGTATATGACCCAAGTATGATGTCTTCCTTTGTTTCACTATTTCTAAGAGCTGCATGAACATTTTTTTCTTGCCAACAGCATAATCGAGTTTTTAAACGTCCAAAATAAACCTCGCCTGCGTCGTTTAACTGCTATTTTTGATATATTTCCTACACTCTTAAACGTTAATGTAGATTTGAGACGAACTAATTAACTTACTTTGGTCGCGACAAAAAAGTCATTCTTTCCATAATAGGCGGCAACAGGGCAAGTGATCTTCGACACATTATAGGATGGTGGTTCGAGGCTTCCATATCGAATTAGATTGCCGACCCCATAATCGTACTGCCTAAAATAACCTATAGAGTTTATAATTTTAATTTGACTAAATGAAGCAGTAAAAATGAATAAAATTACTATACACGGTCGGCAACCTGTGACTTCGGGTGCCGATTTTCGTGTGTACGAAGAGTACAGTCAATGTGTTCAGTACCATTAAATTAAGGAATAAATAGAGAAAATTAAGTAGTTTCAGAAGCACATGAAATAAAGCGCCGTCTTAGGCTATATATATATATATATATATATATATATATATATATATATATATATATATATATATATATATATATATATATATATATATATATATATATATATATATATATATATATATATATATATATATATATATACCCATGTAGTTTATATATATATTACATGTATTGTACATGTATGTTTATATACATATATTACATGTATATATATATATATATACCCATGTATATATATATATATATATATATATATATATATATATATATATATATATATATATATATATATATATATATATATATATTTTTTTTTTCTCTCCTAGTTACAAGATTAGACATGTAAATACCTACTCAAGACTCTGTTGCTGATAAGATATATCGAAGACGGATATAATATACAGGGTGCTACAAATTCGAGGTACGAGAATTGATATCTCGGAAAGCGTAATAGATACGAAGATGGTTAAATTGTTGAGTTTTTTCGGGAAAAAAACAGATATTTTTGAAAATCAATTTTATTTTTTTGTGTCGCTACTTTTTAGAAAATCAAAAAAATAATTTAACATTCTCATAGCCACTTTATTAGGGCTATCCGATAGCATTTTTAGATTTTTAAATTATCTAATAATTTGTGAGATACAGAGGCCAACTTGATTTTTCTAAATACGGACCCGCATTTTTTATTTCAAATTTTGAAAGAATTCGGTCTGCTGAGTACAATGGTATGCCACACTTAATTTTTTTTTGTTTCCGGCATTTAAACACAATTTATTTAACTAGTTTCAAGTTTTTTTTTAATATTTAATCTTTTAATTGTTACAATATTGAGAAGCTTTAAAACTTAAAAATGACGTGAGATAAAACATTGATAACGGAAAATCAAATACAATAAATTAATAAAAAATAATATAAATATAATATAACTAGCGTTATTATATCGCCATATTGTTTTTTCTCATACTGACATAAATGTGAGAAAATTTTATACAGTTTGTATGTTAATAGAAATTCTTGCTATGCTTTATCATCACCATTACAAATGATTAATTCGACGCGAAGTCGCGGGTAACTTCGTTCGATATTTGAGGGGTAGTTTCATGTCATTGGAATTTGACTTTCGAAAAATCCGTTTGCCAAAAATAAGCTTTTTACGTCAAGCAGTTTAAGCAGAATTGTGGTTAATCAATTACCCAACTTTTTGGAACATCCTCTATGATTTTATAAAAAATTTCAAAATATGTAAAAAAACAAAATAAATTATGCGTGTCCAAGCGTTTTCCCGAAAGACTAACCGTTTTTTAAATAACAAATATTGTAATATTTAAGGGGCGTTTTCACCCTCTTGGAATTTTAGATTCGAGAAACACCTCCTTATCGAATCTCTACACCCCACAGTCAATCCGTTTGCCAAAAATCAGCTTTAAACGTCAAGCAGTTTAAGCAGAATCGTGATTACTCAATGGTCATATTTTATGAAACACCCTGTATTAATTTTTAAAAATTATTAAAATATGTAAAACAACAAAATAAAATATACGTGTTTAAGAGTTTTTTCGAAAACCTCAGCGGTTTTTAAATAAAAAAATATTCTAATATTTGAGGGGTGGTTTCACTCCCTTAGAATTCGAGTTTCGAAAAATTCCTTCTTATCGAACCTCTACACCCTAAAGTCAATCCGTTTTCCAAAAATCAGCTTTTTACGTCAAGCGCTTTAAACAGGATCGTGATTAATCAATGACCAGATTTTTCGAAACACCCTGTATACATTTTTAAAAAATCTTAAAATATGTAAAAAACCAAAATAAAATATACGTGTTTAAACGTTGTTTTGGAAACTTGACCGTTTTTTAATGAAAAATGTTGTAAAATTTGAGGGTTGGTTTCATCCCCTTGGAACTGGAACTTCGTAAAATCCTTTCTTATCGAACCTCTACACCCTAGAGTCAACCTGAATGCCAAAATTGAGCTTCTTACAAATTTGTTTGTAGCATTAGAAATTTGTTTGTAGAAATTGATATATTTTCAATACCTACGATTAATATTATGCATATGATTAGATCATACATTGAGATCTCAAATTCACAAAAATAAGTTAATAATAATATCTCTTAAATTGCTGACCTGGATATTATTTATTTAAATCTTTCAATTGACTCGATTTTCCTTATTGTTGCGATGAATTTAACCAGGCTAAATAATTTAAAAATCCGGAGTCGGACTTGAAATTATTTTAAATAATAATTAAACAGTTTTGTAGTTGTAAAAGTATCTAAAACAAAAAAATATATAAAGTGTGTCATATCGTTGTACTCAGGAGATTGAATTTTTTCAAAACCTCAAATAAAAAAGTGCAGGTCCGTATTTAAAAAAAATAAGTTGGTCTATGTATCTCACAAATTATCAGATAATTTGAAAATCTAAAAATACTGCCAGATAGCTCCGATGAAGGGGCTATGAGAATGTTCAATTAATTTTTTGATTTTCTAAGAAGTAACGACAGAAAAAATAAAATTGACTTTCAAAAAAATCCGTTTTTCTCAAAAACTCCAGCAATCCTTGAAATATTTGAAACTTTTTTGATTGCATGTTGCCGAACATCCCAAGGCGCAATTTTGCCCCATTTAACCATCTTCGTATCTATTACGGTTTCCGAGATACCAATGCTCGTACCTCGAATTTGTAGCATCCTGTATATATGCTACAAGAAATATCCGATTTCAGGCTGTTTTAGTTTGGCTTAGGACATTACAGCCAAATGTTCCTATCGTTATTAGGAACTTGCAGATTTCCTAAACTATACTAAACTCACCGGCAAAAAAAACCGGCCACTAAAAACTAGTCCCAATTTCAAAGTTGGATTTCTCGCGAACCACTCATTAGATTTTGATGATTTTTTTTTAAATTGTAAATTAATTCCTTTTTAGCGGATACTACGTCGGAAATTTCTCTTTCGAATTTATTTTGAGCATATACAGGGCACAACAATAAGACGAAGTTTTTTGCCAGAACTTTGTAACACTCTGTAGGGTGCAGCAGCTATAGTAGTTATTGCTAAATCAAATTACACTGTAGCCTCATCTTTTATGAGCAATTTGTTTTTTTAATCACGTCATTATCTCTGTTTGTATTGGAGATACGCTGCTTTAAAACGAACGTCTCGGAAAAATGCTTCGCAGGCAGAAAGTTTTATCTATAAATAATCAAGGCGAACTAGACGAAAAGGGATTTATGAATATTTGCAATATGACAACAACGGTTGTCAAATTAAAAAACGCCATTATCTGTGACGGATGTTACTCGTATTGTGGCTTTAATTGAGGATGGCCGAAGTCAACGTTATGGGTCCGATACCCTGGGTATACCTTGAACGACAGTCCAGGATGCCTGGAATCGGTATACGGAAACGGGAAATTTCACCAGGCGACTGGGTTTCGGAAGAAAACGGAAGACAAATGCAATTGACGACCGTTTTATTATCCTGAATACTTTACCAAATCGTATAATTACAGCGTTTTAGAATCAACATCAGCTACAAGCCGTGCGTAGAACTCAAGTCAGTGAGAGAATAATCCGACGAAGACTAAAAGAAAACAGCTTGTCTGCAAGGAGGCCTGCCACAGGACCCCAGCTACTTCCAAGACATCGTCGAGCACGTCTTCAGTTTGCGCGTTTACATGTGAATTGGGATATTGAGTAATGGACTAAATCTTTTTTCGAGGCGTTTGTTTTAAAGTAGCGTAGCTCCAATACAAACAGATATAATGTCGTGATTAAAAAAACAAAATGCTCATAAAAGATGAGGCTACAATGTGATTTAGCAACAGCTACTAGAGCTGCTGCACCCTACAGGGTGTTACAAAGTTCGGGCAAAAAACTTCCTCTTATTGTCGTGCCCCTGTATACGCTCAAAATAAATTGGGAATAAAAATTTCTGACGCAGCATCCGTTAAAAAGAAATTAATTTACAATTTAAAAAAAAATCATCAAAATCTAATGAGTGGTTCGCGAGAAATCCAACTTTGAAATTGGGACTAGTTTTTAGTAGCCGTTTTTTTGCCGGTGAGTGTATTATGGCCTGATACTTTTAAGGCCAAACAAGAAGATTTGACATGCTTTATGAAAATAATTCTAGATACAGTTATTTTCTCAATTTTTATATTAATTCTTAAGACCATAAGTCACACTATTTTGTATTTAAACAATAAAATTATGACGCCAGTGAGTATGAAAAATATGAGATTTTAAATTTCTCTGTTTCAACAATTCCGTTCCTAATAACGACAAGAACTTTTAGTATATCATAGGCTGAGCTAAAATGGCCTGAAGTCAGATATTTACTGTAACCAATACAATAGTTTCCTTAAAAATATCCTTTTTAAAAGTAGGAAATGTTATGAAGCTTCTGTCTATATCTGGATACTATTTAAAATGTAATTTGTGTCGAAATTATATACAAACCTGATCTTATTTCTTGTCCAAAATGATATAATTCTTTTATGGATATTCCATCAGGACTACTTGCTAAAAATACGGTTAGTAGTGTCTGAAAAATATACCAGACGGTGTAAAAATTCAAAGTAATGTAATATCTACCAATAGTTAAATCTGCCAGTAAAGACGAATATAATAAAACATTTTCTCGATCAACAACAAACTTATTTGTTTTGTATGAGAGAATAAATGGAAAATTACTTAAGGAAGTTATTCTATATGTATAGTGCGTGTCAAAAAGTTCGTAACAAAGATAGCTTTTGATTATTGAGTGAAGGAATAAAAATTTATGGCCCATAAATTCAGCATGCCTATTAAATAATTCTGGCCTCATAATACTGTGATTTCGGTTCACCCTATACAGTCTTGAATAAGTGCAAATATTTTAGGAGTGGTATATTTCAACATTTGAAAACTTTTCACAACTACCTGTTTGCCGCAAATTTTCCCATGGTATATTTTTTTGGTCCGATATTGCCTAAGGATATTACAGTTGACTGAAAGAATTGAGAAGAACCTGACTAACCTAATGGGCATTGTGACAAGGCTGATATTTCTCCTTACGTCTCAAGTGCTGTACGGTGGAGCCTCTACACGTTCAGCGACCAATTTTCACTCACTCATTTTCTCGAAATCGGTTAGCGAAGGCATATATTTTTATTTTTAATCTAAGGACATATACGAATACGGTGTGCAACTGAACGCGACAATGTTGCCATTTTAAAATGTGTAATGTCTGTAATACGTTTGACCAAAATCCGCGTTTATGCATTGAAAATTGATTCGTGTTAAAAATAGAATAAAAAAAATCTATTATAGGCACTGAATATTTCGTATAATCGAAAAAAGTCGTATGGTTGGCTTGGAAATGACGACTATTGGCATTTACTATAATTTTTTATATTGCGCTATTTACTGACGGATCCAAGATGGATTCAGGTGTAGGTTCGGGGGTGTTCTCGAAGGGTCTTGACATCGCAAGATCTTACCGGCTTCCGGATAGACCAAGTGTTTTCCAGGCAGATATACTTGCCATTTGGAAGGTCTGCGAATGTTTGAGCTAGGAGACACCTTATGGGCGGAAAACGGCAATAATTACTGATAGCCAAGCAGCCATGTTGGCGCTGAACTCATCTACAATATCCTCCAAAATAGTCAAGAAAACGTATGACAAGTTATCCTACATGACAACTAGGTATGATATAACCTTGCTTTCCAGGCCACAGGAACATCGATGGGAGGATCGTGGCTTGAACTAGATGCATCAGAGGAAGTGCTTGGCCCAAATACGACTTTAAGAAATCGGGAGAGCTCATAACTAAGTCGCGTAAGGATATCGCCAGGCTTACGGCGGTATATACGGGACACTGGCCAATTGGCAAACATGCGGCGAGAATGGGCATCCCTTTTAACAAAGTTTGCCGAAGCTGCAAGGACCCGAAGGAAGGAGAAACGGTTGCAAATGCAGACTTCCTGTGCCGCTGTCCGGCTTTGTATAGGACTCGCAACCGTTTCCTCGGTGGTTATAGTTTTGTAAATCTTGAAGATGTTGCCGGGAAGAGCATAACGGAAGGCACCCGTTATCTTAATGCCACCGAATGGTTATAAACAATTAACAGTCCAACTTTTCCATCCCTAGGGATAGGATCTCGAAGTGAATGATATCAAAACGGCAATTCTGCTAGTTGGAGTTCGACAAGCGGTCGCACTCGCCACTTCAACCAACCAACCATAATTTTTTATGAAATAATAGTGATCTTCATTTACAAACCAACTCTGACGCCGTTCTTTGTTTAATAATATAATAGTATAATAATATATTAAATTGTTTAATTTAATATAATATTATATGTTATTATTGTAAAAAGAAAATGTGTTTCTTTTATCGAAAGCTATACCAGCCCTCAAAATATTTGCGTTTATTCAAGACTCACCCTGTAACCAAACATTATTTACAGAAAAACGCAAAATCGGAAAATTTTATTTAAAAACATCCACTTATTTATTTTTTGTTGGAATTATTCACTTACACCTTATACAATTATTTTTTGTGTGGATTGTTATAATACGTGGTTCCTTCAGAACTTAACTGTTGCGTTGTTATAAAGAACCATTCATTCAAATAATTAATAATAATTATTTACCTTGTTTACTTGAGGTAGATCAAACCCTACGATGAAATCCATAATAAGTGGACATACATCTTGTACAGAACTGGCATCATTACAGAAGACTTTTCCTAATAGTGGAATTAAGGGGGTAAATGGGACAGAATGAATGCCCAGTAGACCAAAAGTCAACTATAAAAAAATAAAACCAAAACGTATAAAAAAATTAAAAAAATATGTACTAGATATACTCTGTTTTTTTTTTGGTCGGACCACTCTGTAAATTGTCGTGAAAATTGTGGCTGTTTTCATCTAGTTGCCGTATGATAGTAAAAAAACTACGTTTCACTTCTATATGTACAGTGCCTTTTTTTAGAAGAGGGTAAGCGAAGAAAATCGAAGAGGTCATTTTCATTTTTCTATCACATTAGAGCGCTAAAATTTGTGTAGGTCTCCTTTCACATTTATTTTAATTAAATCACTATAGATGGACAAAAACTATTTTATTACTATATGTCCAATAGGGTTCAGAACGGGGAAATTCCGGTACCGAAAGTACCGGGAATTATTACTATTATTAATCTCCGGTACTTTCGGGACTCGGTAATAATAATTAAAAACATATTTTTTGTTACGTGCGAAAGGCTTTTCATACTTTCTAGCGGTCGAAATCTCTTACTGTTCTTACTTCTGAAGTTATTTTGAAGTTTCTATAATGTTTATTAGCAATTATTGAAGTTTAAATATGTTATTTTATTATTTAGTATAATATTGCTCAATGTATTAGATATATTTTTTTGTGTTGTTTTTATAGGCATTTGCATCTTTAATTGAAAATGTTATTTTTTTTTCAGATTTAGTTAAGTTGGTTTCGAGGTTGGTTGGTGTTGTTTGATGTAATTTTAAGCCACCTATGTGCTTTCGTTTTTTTTGCTTGTGATCGTTATTTGTGTTCATGTTTACTTTCTCATGACTTAATAATTTGATATTATCTTCATTTGAAACTCATTTTTTTATCGGATTTACTTTTCAGAACTACATCCCTTGCACAGTCATTGAACGAAAATATTTTAGCAGGGTTTTCGGAAATTCTAATTAATACTACCAATTAGTAGGGTTGAGATCTTTTTGGCCTGGGAACCGGGCCTCGGTAACAATAATTAAAAAATTATTTTTTTTGTTATATGAAAAAGTCCTTTCATACTTTCTAGGGGTCGAAATCAAACTCTTCTAAATAAGTAATGATGTTATTTTGTATTATTCTTGCTTCTTTTCTCTTGAAGTTCCTATAATATTTATTATGTTATGTTTTAATAGCTATTTGCATTTTCAATTCAATACTTTGGGGCTTTTGTCTCAAATTCAGTTAAATTGGTTTATGTTGGTTGATGTGAAATTTAAGTTACCTATACTTTTTTCTTTACTTGTGTTCATGTTAATTTTTTCATGACTGACTACTTAATAATTTGATATTATTTTCATTAAAAATCTCAATCTTTTTAAAATTTTGTTTTGAAAAACTATCCTTTGCTTTCTGATTGACGAACTGCACTACCATTAAACAAAAATTAGTCACTACTGAAAGCACAGAAAAAACGGGAAATCCCGCTTCCTAAGAGGCACAGTACCGAAATTCCCGGTTCCGAAAAACAGCTCCCGTTCCGGAAACCCTAATTTCCAAATATCGTGCTTTAAAATTTTAAGGGAATTTGACTCAAAGTCTGAGGTTGACATTTATTTTTTTCTATCAGTACTTTTAGGACCAATGTAGGAATGAATAAAATATAACTACAATCAATAAGAAAATTATCTAGACATACCTATTTCACACCAATCTTAATATCCAGGATCAATGATTATTTTTCCTAAATTTTCAGAATTATTATTTTTTAAGAGAATTGTTTATAATGTGTAATTTTTATAGAATAAAAATGCTTTAAACCCTATTGGCACGGCATGAACCAAGTCAACTGGATGATGCCATATAAGTATACAGGGTGTTTCCTACGATGTTCTCTATGGGTATCTCGGAAACTACTGGAGATAGAGAGTCGGTTAAATGGTGAAAGAATTGCAGTTTTGTGGGGCCATAAATATGCGCCTTTCAGATTTTTGAAAAAGTTCATGGCTTACTGGATTTCGACTATTTTAAAAATTGTCCCTAATTCCATTATAAGCTATTTTAGACAAAAAGTTTTCAAATAAAAGTTGTAGATAATCTCATCCTTAATGAGATTGTGTCGTCCGTTTTCTTCTAAAGCCTGTCGTTTTTTTAAATGGAAACCATATTTGGCTATGGCTTCATAAAAAGCGCCATTTTTAAAGCTTTTCATCGATATAAGCTATAATATGTTTTCATCGAAAAATTACTGAGTTATAGCCAATTCTTATCATTTTTAAACAATTTCACTTAGTTAGCCATGGAAACAAGTTCAATCGCCGTTGCTCTCAGAAATGTGAAGCTGTCACATCCAAACTTTGTAAATTCAAGTAAGCAAAAATTGTAAATATTCATTTTTCAAGTGAAGAAAAGCGTGTAGGATTATTGGTTCAACTATTCTTGACCATACATTTTCGAGGATACGTTAACCGGTGCATGTTACGTTTCTTAGAGAACGGTTTTCAAGACATGTTAGAAAAGTTAAATTTAGTTATAGCCAATTCTTATCTTTCTTGATTAATTTCAATTAAATTGCACGGTACATATTCTTATTCTATTATGATTTATAACTTATAAAAAGTCGTAGTATATTACTAAACGGTTCCTCACAATTTACAAAAAATCCGCCATTGTTTTGAGTTGCTTCTTTTTAAAACTTAATTACTACCTATTCTCACAGAAGGACCGGTCGACTTAATTAAACTTCTCTCGTACCGCCACTTCGAGTACCTCTCTTAATTCATAAGTTCTTTTTTAAACCCTATTGGTAACCATACCGCATAAAAAAATTAAAATGGATAGGTCAGGTGAGCTAGGAGGCCCATGCAAATGGTCAACCTCTTCCTATTCCTGAGTTTGCATAATTATGATATAAATAATTTTGAACATTTCTTTCATTATGGGGGGGGGTCATAATGAAAGTCATGTTGGAACCACTCTATTGATGGGCGACTATCTATACGATTTTTTTCATTTGAAAAATTCATATTTACAATTTTTGTTTATTTTAATTTACAAAGTTTTGATGTGACAGCTTCACATTTCTGAGAGCAACGGCGATTGAATTTGTTTCCATGGCTAACTAAGTGAAATTGTTTAAAAATGGTAAGAATTGGCTAACTCAGTAATTTTTCGAAGAAAACATATTATAGCTTATATAGCTGAAAAACTTAAAAAATGGCGCTTTTTATGAAGTCATTGCTAACTATGGTTTCCATTTTAAAAAATGTATGTTTGTGTCATATGTCAAAAATGACAGGCTTTAGAAAAAAACGGAGAACACAATCTCATTAAGGATGTGATTATCTACAACATTTATCTGAAAACTTTTTGTCTAAAATAGCTTATAATGGAATTAGGGACAATTTTTAAAATAGCCGAAATTTGATGTTTTCGAAATATCTAGTAAGCCATAAACTTTTTCAAAAATCTGACAGGCGCATATTTATGACCCCACAAAACTGCAATTCCTTTTCTTTTCCCATTTAACCGACTCTCTATCTCCAGTAGGTTCCGAGATACCCATAGAAAACATCGTAGGAAACTCACCCTGTATGTACCGGGTGGTCAACTAAGAATGGACGCCGGCTGTATCTCAGGAACTACTTATCGTATAGCTTTGGGAAAAAACTGTAATAAGTAAATCGGCCAAGAGAAATCGCTGGAAATTACTTTGTAATATATACTATACATACTGTTGTAATCATCGGAAAATTAGTAATTTTTTTGATATAGAGTATTTTGTTCTATCTCATAAAATGAAGTGGCGGGGGAAGGTTAAACTTGCTTTTATTAAAATCTGGATAACTCTGATATAAGTTAGCCGATTAGAAGCTAGTGCTTGTTTTAAAGAGCTTTTCTTCTTTAATGTTCTCCAGTGTCAATTTCATCCTGATTTGTTCTCTTAATATCTCCAGTTAGAGAGAAGATGGAAAGTTATTGTTTGCGCTGATATTTTGGAAATTGTGTGCTCTATTTAACTGTGCAAAGAGAAACATAGCCTGCTGTTTAATTTTTAATGCAAAAGCGCAATATCTGTTTTGATGTCAAACTAGCGCCCTCTAGCTACCACGAAAAAATCTATGGAAACAAAATTTATACTGTAGATCATTAAAGAAGAAAAGCTCTTTCGTCGTGTTATCTTCTATGTTAATAATGCATACCTCGATTAGTTCTTGATTTTCTGACAGGAGTCTTGGAATAAGTCCACTTGAATTTCCCATATAAGCTACGGGACTGAGTAATGCCATTAAGTTTATCTTTTCTACATACTCGGGTCTCATAGTAGTGAATACTAAGCCTTCAGTCGTGCCTTGAGAGAAGCCAAGGAAGGTGAAATTATCTACTTTAGTATATTTCAACATATAATCGACACTAGCTGGTATATCGTAGTAACCTATAAAAATTGTAACCGGGTTTAAGTAAGAGGGTCTGGTTTAAAGTGCTTTGGTGTATGGGGGGGGGGTTATTTATCACAAGACACCAAAACAAAAAATATTACAAAACAAAAACGCTAAATTAGTATTTTTGCAATTTTCTTATCATAGTAAATTTTGAACCTTTCTCGTGAAAACTAAAATCCCAATAATCGCTGTCTTTATTTGGATCCAATGTGGTATGCGATGTGTAGATATTTCCTCTTGTATTACATAGCCACACATCGTATCCTGCAAAAAAAAATGAAATTATACAGGGTTGTTCACCACATACGACACGGAGTATTGTAGTTAAACGATTAGATTTTTACAAATTGTAAGTTTTGGGTTCGTTGAAGGTCTATTAGAGCTACAATTCAATATTTTTACAAGATACAGAGTGTCCCAAATAAGTAAAAAATATTATAGTTGTATTTTTTTAAATGGAACACCCTGTACATTATTCTATTTTTGGATTCTAAGATTGAAATAAAGGTAAATTTGATTAAGGTTTATCACACTTAAACCTTACCGTTTTTGAAATATTTTCAATTTTATGAAATTGTAGTAAAAATTTTAATTCTTTATTTCTCCCAGGGTATCAAAGTTTTTAATACTAAATATTTACTGAAGATTATTTATTGATCAGATATTGTGTTGCAATAATAAAAATTTTACTACCTTATACAGAGTGTCCAAAAATTTATATTAAATAATTACTAGCTTTAAATTGCAATAACTTGTTTAATTTAAATGGAATACTCTATATATTTTACGTGAATCAGATGTACAATGTAATTGTCTATGAAATTGTATTATACCATTTTTCACCCATCTCTTGAAGTTTTCGTAGAAAATGCGTTTTGTTATAATTTGGACCTCATTTATATAGGTTTATATACCCATGGAATATTGACATTTCAGATTTTTTTTATAGCACCATAATATGTACAAAATGTACAGGTGGTAAATATTGCAAACCCATTGGCATACTAAAAAACTATTTAAATCTTTGTAAAAGAGTATACCAATTAAATATACCACCATTATTTCCTACAAAAAAACACCAAAAGTTAGTTAATTACATACTTGTAAATTGTTTTAATTAATAAATTATTCTAAATAAATGTGGATTTGGCTCAGAAATCAATATAATAATAAGTTATGAAAATGAATGTCTCTGTTTTTATAAATAAGCATTCGTCAATAAATGAAATAAAATTTATAAGGTGTTACTTTTTACCACACTGTCTAATACACACATAAAATTCAGTTTTTAGTATTTGGAACAGTTATTACTTTAACGTAAACAGTCAATTTAATGTAGTTTGAATACTGGGAGCATATTAATTGGTCCTCTTTAACAAAAAATATTTAAACAGTTTTATTTTTATTTTTTAATTAACTAAGCGAACTATATCGACAATATTAGTATCTGTACACTTTGAAAATTTGTCACATCGTTAAAAATAAGCTAAAATGTCAATATTCCATGGGTATAGTGATAAATGAGGTCTAAATTATAAGAAAATGCATTTTCTATGAAAACTTGAAGAGATGGGTAAAAAATGGAACAATACAATTTGATAGACAATTACATTGCGCATCTGATTCACGTAGAATATATAGGGTGTTCCATTTAAATTAAACAAGTTATTGCCGTTTAAAGCTAGTAATTATTTAATATAAATTTTTGGACACTCTGTATAAGGTAGTAAAAGTTTTAATATTGCAACACAATATCTGATCAATAAATAATCTTCAGTAAATATTTAGTATTAAAAACTTTGATACCCTTGGAGAAATAAAGAATTAAAATTTTTACTACAATTTCATAAAATTGAAAATATTTCAAAAACGGTAAGGTTTAAGTGTGATAAACCTTAATCAAATTTACCTTTATTTCAATCTTAGAATCCAAAAATAGAATAATGTACAGGGTGTTCCATTTAAAAAAATACAACTATAATATTTTTTACTTATTTGGGACACTCTGTATCTTGTAAAAATATTTTTAAATTGTAGCTCTAATACACCTTCAACGAACCCAAAACTTACAATTTGTAAAAATCTAATCGTTTAGCTACAGTATTCCGTGTCGTATGTGGTGAACAACCCTGTATAGATTAATTTGTTGTTCGTACAGAGATAATAAATAAAAAAAAATGTGTGTGCTCTATTCGAAGTGAAATATTTAGCTATTAAATTGAAGGCTTTTAAGAACATGTTTGAAAAAGTGTAGTTTGAAATGTTGAAAAAGTAATAAATTAATAAATAATTTGATTCCTTTTTACAAAATTTGTATTAAAATGACCGTCTGTCCGTCTGAGGACTCAATTCCATAATAAAGAAAAATCCTGATGATTCCGTCCATTTAGACGCATCGGATCGAAACGTCGAGGACGTCATCCTGTAGCCTGTGCCCAATTATGCCCAAATCAACCCACATTTTTCAGCAATATCAAATTTTTAGTCGCACCTCGATGAAGACGTAAATGAAACGTCGCGCGTCGTGTTTAACTTTGCAGGGTGGAACCGTGTGCACCGTTTGGCTACCCACCAAATTTAGTCGCGATCGGACGACATCAAATTTTGACGTTTTTAACGTGAATCCAAAAAAGATCCAGTGGTTCTCAAAATTTTGGCAAAAAATCATTTTTTTTGGAAATTTTCAAAGTAAAATAATTCCGTTATTTTGAACTTATTTGAAAACGATAAAGAGAAAATGTGTTCCTACCACCCCTTAAAATACTTGCACTTATTTCTGGGACACCCTGTATAGTACAATTAAATATCATTAATATAATAAATTCGAACTGTTTTGAATGTAGATAAAATATATTTTAAACACGCTATTTTGGGTTTATTTTTTTTATAATTTTGTTTTCATAATGAATTATAGTAATGCGTTCCACGGAGTTCCGGTTTTTATTTATTAAAATTAAAATCACTAATGTATATTGATACATGTATAAAAAAAAAATCAGCTTTCCAAATCTGCCCTTTTTTGAAATAGCCCATTATTTTCAGAGTTGCACTGGTTTCTATACTAGTCCTGTAATATCAAGAAAGGATTTTTTAGTTTTAAGAAGACAGATATTGTAAACTATGAATTTCTAAGTTTATTACAAGCTTTTTTCATATATTATTGACAGTAGAAAAAAAAATCAAATGGCTATGCTGGGTGTAAATGACACTCTTTTGCGCTCCACGAAAGGTGAGACCTGCATCAAACGTAACGCTTGCACTACTCTAGTTGAATGGAAAAAATTATAATATTTAAAATTAGCCCTACGCCTACATACATATTACTGCCATGACTCGCTGAGGCGTATTCGAAACGCATCAGAAGATGGTCTGCGACACGCATCAGAGGATGAGCTTTTCTGTGACTGAAAAGCCCGATACGTGATGTTATCTGCCTACCGCACTCCGGACATTCAAAAATCCCATTGCTTTGTTGCCTCTTTACTTTTTGGTTGTCGCTGTTTCCTGAGTTTACAATTCTTCTCCATTGAGTTCCATTGTGAGCTGCTTCTTCCCGCTCATTCTGCATGTTAATCCCCTTTAAGTTTTCGTGGAAAATGTCCTTGTACCTTTTCAGTTGTCCACGTACCTACCACTATTGTTACAGGTTAATTCGTTAAACAAATGTGTTACATATTATTCGTGGTATTAGTGGTATTATATTGGAATCAGCTTGGCATTAGTGGGGCATTATATGAGAAATTTTGGTATTTAATTTGTATTTTTGGCATTAGTATACAGACATTTGTCAGCGGTTTAATCCTCGTAGATAATCAAAAAGTTTTTAGATAAAATTTGCTTTTTATGTCAGATCATTTCTATGAAAAATTACATTAGATTTTTATTAAAGACCCTGGGTAATTAAAACATTGACTAATAAAGCTTGTCCACTTTAAATAAGGGGTCACGAAATATCCTCCTTGGAGTGTTTGGGTTAAGGGGTGTATAATAAATTAATCCTTGTTTTATAATAAAAACCATAAAACATTTATTTGTGAGTAAAATAATGCAATGGTTGGATATCTCTCCTTTATAATTAGGGGACTAAATATACACTAAAATAATTAGAAAAAAAATCTTGTAATTATTTAGTAATTACGTCAATATTAATTAATTGACTTTCTAGTCTATTGTATTTTATATACAAATATATTATTAAATTTTAATCTAAGCATTAAGTAATAAAACACTTTGTGCCCTCTTATATCGTAAGAGGTTACGAAATATACTCCTGGTTACACCCCTTACAGAAAACAGTGTAAGGGGTGCAAACAAATTGTATAATCACTGTTTTTTATAATAAAAACTATAAAACATTTCTTATTTGTGAGATTAAAAAAACAAAACAATGCATTGGTTAAAATAAGTACATTCAATACATGTATTGTGTTAGACATTTATATGCCCAGTATATTTTTGTTTAACAAACCAATCAGGAAAAAATCCAAAACCTACAGTTATAGGAGGTATAAGATGATTAAACTTATATAATGACAACTACTTATCGGATAACAAATTAATTACTACTGTCAGCTGCTGTCTAGGTAGAATATACCTAGAGTACCTACACCTACCTATGATGTAGGTAGATTAAGGCTTATTTTGACTTTACGTCTCACTTCGGTGTCACAAGCTGAATTTTTCAGGGATGGAAGTACAGTACATGATATGGGGACCCTTATTCCGAAAGTAGTACAAAATTAGACCGGGTAAAAGGGCACTATCATCAAAAATCGATATATTAATACCACCGTATAGAGAAAACAAATACTTATTTTTTGATCCAGTACACAATAAAGTCTTCGTAGGGAGTAATTTTTTATAATTATTTACAAAAAAACATTTCCATTAGCGCTTATGACCAAAAAAAACTTTAAATATGAATAACTCTGAAATATGAATAATGACTTTACCTTGATCAGCCAAAAGCATCGCCAACGAATTCTCTGGTCCCGAATAAAGAAAAATCATAGAGGAGCATGCTACACAATGTTTCATAAATACAACAGGTCTCTTTTTTTCAGTGATCGTTTCATTTCTTCCGTGTGCTATACGATGCATTGTTAGAATATGACCATCCTCGGTTGTAACATTATGTTCTTCAAATGGGTAACCATATTTATTTAGCAACTGAGACTGAAAATGAAATTAAGTCAGTGGTAGCTGAGTTAAGTACAGAGTGTAAAATATAAAAGAAACATATGAGAGAAAAGTATCATCAATCAGCAATATACAGTATTTTGTATTATTTCAATAGCAAATCAATAAAACAACATAATTGGTTACAATTATGTATTTTTTTATAAAGTCAATCAAAACTGTTAAATATATCTCTCTCATTTGATCATCACCATCATCGAGTCAATGCGTCTTTACTAAACAAACGGTATTTATATAGCTCGAGGATTTCATCAAAAATTCATTAAACAAAATTATGTTTTTTCTATATAAAATTCACTTGGTAATTGTAAAAAGAAGGTTTTAAAATTTTAGGATTTTTAGAAGGATATTAAAATATTGCAAGTGGAATATCTACTTATGTCCGCGGATTATCTTTGCAAGAGGATTTTTTTTATTATTGACATTTTGAGAAAAATGTATTATTATGTATTCAATAAAATGTTTCAGTAAAAAATGTATTCAATAAAATTTTTGTTTGTTCTAACTATAGTAATATAATTTCGATTTGACTCTTTGATAGACAGTATGTGGTAGACCGATGTGGTATCGAAACTTCAGAATTCAATTGCTTTGAAGGAATTTTTATAAAACTTATTGCATTGTATTGTTAATAAGATGTGTTACAAAGTTTACACATTTAAACTCGTTGCTTTCACTTTAGCATTTATAATAAGATATATAAATATAAATTAGAAGAAAAAGATTGAACGGCTCAGCCCTCAACAACTCGTAACCCTATACACATAAATTATATACTTTTCTAACGAAACTTGCCTTTATTTATTTCCTATAAACCAAAAATCTATTAATATGTAGGTTGTTCCATTGTAAAAATCACAACTTTGATGTGTAACTTTTTTTGTGGATATCCTGTAGAACTTTATATAATTTTAGAAAATGCTTTAAATTAATTTACATAAGCTCACAAAATTTCACTTCAATACGAACTGTCGTTATCCTTGGAGACACTGCGTCGTATTAGGGGTACCACCCTGTATAATTCGAAATCAAAATTTCAAGGATTCGAATATAAGCAGAGCTTATGCATTAAATTCATTTATTTCAAGAAATATACTTAGAAAACAAATGAAAAAAATGAATAACTAAGAATTTACTAAAATAAAAAATTATGGGTAAGCTATTATTATAGTATATATGTTGGAGGCAAATATGCCGAATTCGGCCTATGTCCGAAATAATTAGACATATGGCGATTTGTCCATACTAAACTTGCCAGATGCGTGCAACTTCGTGGTTATAAATAGTCTTTATATAACTTCTTTGCGGAGGGGGTTAATCTTTTTTTGGTATAATATAACAACGAAAGATTAACAACACCCTCCACATAGAACTTGAAACCAATGCAATCAAAACTGTTCCGCGTAACTTTATGGATATAAGTAGGTATATTTAATTATAATCGCCATATGTCTAATTATTTCGGACATAGGCCAAATTCGGCATCTGCGTCCAACATAAAAAAATGGGTAAACATTTTAGTATTTTAACCATAAAACCCAATACAGATGGTTTCACATTAATACATTCAAAGTAATTGAATTTCTATGTAAAAGTCTCCGGGAACTATTTTTGCTGTTGTTAAAGTATCATATTTTCCGCGCGATAACTATTATCAATCATTTCATAACATTGAGCTAAATAAATTTTGTGCTTCTTTAATACCGTATGATCGAGAAAAAAAACGGCGTCAGTTATGGCTATAAAATGAAGATCGCTGTCATTTTATAGGTAAATTTATATGGGAAATATCATCGATAGTCAATTCCCAGCCAACTGGACGCCGTTTTTTTTTATCATACGGTATTTTAAAACACTAAAAACATGACTTTTATTAAAATTCTATCAATAAAAATCTATCAAAGGATGAAAACGAAATTATATTACCATAGAAACGCGAAAATTAGTAAAAGAAATTAACCATTTTTGAACATCAAATTTTTTTATGAACAGTGCATTTTTCTCAAAATGCAAATAACAAAGAAGTTCTACCGTCACTATAATTCAAGAAATTAAAAATTTAACCAAATTAATCTAGCCATATCAATATCTTATGTATAGTATGTATGCAAAAACATAATAAAAATGCACTGAATTAACCCTTAAAAGTATTTTTATATATGATATTTTGAAATAAGTAATATGTACCTTGAATATAAATTGAATAGAATCAATTTTCAATCAACTTATTAAGAAAATTGAAATATTGACTTATTGGGCATGAGATTTTTATTAAAATTACGAAAAATATCTTACAATGTTTAAATCCGTGTCGGGATGTAATGGCACAAACTTTGCTATTGCTTCTAGAGCTTCCCAAACAAATTCGAACAGCTTTTCAACATCATTATTGTCTTTGGCATAATTGTCACTTCGAACAACATCACTAGTGTAACATAAAATACAAATTACGAACGCAAGTCTCATTTTGCTGGATATACGTAGTTAGTACCTAGGTACTTAAAAATTGAATATAAATTAAGTTTTTCCTTTTATATATATTCCTAGATAAGATTTAAGTGTTGATATGGCTCTATTTCAAATAGAAATGTTTGTATTTCTATGATTATCAATATCGCAAATCATCAGAAAACAGTTGTCTATCTTACACTAAAACTTTTTTCATTTGTGAGTATGCCATGTAATAATTTAAAGAGGTATACATTTTTGATACCGGTTTGTTATAATTACTAATTGGTAATTAATCTTTAATTGGTAATAATAACTATAATTATAAACAATTTAAATCCTTTTATTATATTGTTATTTTGTAAATTGAACTCTGAAATTAAAAATAGTTAAATTGTAGTCTATAAAGTGATATTAGTAGTCTATAAAGGGGTACAAAAAAATGAACTGTTTTTTTACAATTACAATGTGTAAAAAAAAAAAAATATATATATATATATATATATATATATATATATATATATATATATATATATATATATATATATATATATATATATATATATATATTAAATCGACGGAGTCAGACCCGGTACGTTGAAGATAGGCCGTCAGACCTGGGGTATATCGGACGAAAAATGTTCAAGTTGATGCCTTCAGGCCCTGATGCTGGACCGTTTAATTTGTCCCAGTTATATAAAAAAAATAGAGGTTTATTCGTTTTCGCCAGACCCACGACGTTGCCGCTTTTAATTCTCAAATATTTATATTAGAATTAGACGAACGGACCTTTTGACGCGGTAATTGATCACAGTGCAGAAGTAAAACGGTGCATTTCTGCTATAGTGAATATTATTGTACTTATTGTTAGTATTAGATATATTCTGTCTTATAAATGCATCTGTACGAAAGCTGCTTTTATCTGAAATTTCTTTGTAATAAGCATAATCAAGTTACAATGCATTATCAATTTCGTTTAGTAGATTTTGTAAGTGTTTACTAAGTGATGATGGAACCCCGTTTATTATCTTTATACTTTAAAAGAAAAAAAGTTTAGCTATTTCTACAACGAAATCATAGCATCGAAATAAATTTTTAGATACTCAGGTTTAGTACAATTTTTTGACACGACGATCGATTCCGACAAAAAAAATTTAGTTACTTCTACAATGATATCGTAGCATCGATATAAATATTTAGGTAGGTACTTGTACTTGTACTTGTACAATTTTTTGACACGACGATCGATTCCGACGACTGTCATTTCTAAGATAATTTGACGCCGTGTTTTGGAATCATAGGGTATGTGTGTATTTATCATTAACCTTTTTTCTATTTTGTTATAAAGAATTATTTTAACTTATTTTTTTATTACATACAGATATGAGGGCGGCAATTTAAAAATTTGCACTGTGGGCAAGACGGGTAGAAAAAAGATGCTCATTTAGAATATTAAGAAATTCAGACAAAAAAATAAAAATAAGCATTCTTTAAAGATTGTTTCTACTAGTTTTATTTAAAAATATAAATAATATAAGGTCTAATCTGGCGAGTTGAGTTTGGATGAGACTGTAAACAAAATTTTTAAAAGTATAAATGTAATAATTTAAATTTTCTGCGTCTGATAAAATTCATGTAGCAGTAAAGTAAGAAAAAAGTGTAGCTTTAAAAGCATCAATTTCTGGGAATTCCATATTTGTAGAGGCTGGGAACCACCTACTTTTCTGGGAACCCCATACCTAAGTTTCAAGTTTAATTATTAGAACTGTGATTAAAACAAATCACTATTTTCATTCATATTGCAATCAATGAATAATAAGAATATTATATTATCAAATATTACTCTAATTAAATTTTCGAATACAAAGTAAATATAGAAGATAGAACATATTATAGAGATGCAACCATAAAACGTGTTTGTCATATTTACATGGTGTTGGTAGATAGCATCCAGCCGTAAACTGAATATACAACGTACCTATTACAGTAGTGTAGCCACAGTTTAAAGAATACGTGTAGCCGTCAAAATTTTTGTTTCCATCCAAACCAAACCAAACCAAACGAAAAAAAAACTTTAGGTACTACTACAACGAAATCATAGTACCGAAATAAATTTTAGGTACTCGTACAATTTTTCGACACGATGATCTATTTAGATGAAAAAAACTTTAGGTACTTCTGTATATGTATAACCATATGCGAAAAATATCAAAAATTTACATATTATGATATGTTCATTTATTAGGCATCCACACTATCCTCAAAACGTAGTATTTATGGCGTAACAGCGTAACAACCTTGAATAGATTTCCAGTAATTCTATTGGCTGAAAATTCATCTGTCATAAATTTTATTTGTCAAATTCATCTGTCAAAATTTCAGAATAGAATTACTGAATGATTCAGGGTACGTTAATATTGACCGTATTGAGGTAACGGCGTAATGACCTTGAATGGATTTCCAGTAATTTATTGGCTGAAAATTCATCTGTCAGAAATTTTATCTGTCAAATTCATCTGTCAAATATTTCAGCCAATAGAATTATTGGAAACCATTCAAGGTCATTACGCCGTTACGCCGATACGCCGTTTTTAGGATAGTGTGGCTGCACCTCAAGGTCGTCACGCCGTTACGTCGTTTTTAAGATAGTGTGGATGCACCCTCAGAGTGTAATTTTATATCGAATAATGTCTAAACACAAATACGACGACCGATTTAAACGAAAAAATTTTAGGTACTACTACATCGAAATCATAGTACCGAAATAAATTTCTAGGTACTCGTACAATTTTTTGATACGACGATCTGTTTTCTGGAGGCGAAAAACATTTTAGGTAACTTCTACGTAAATTTCTAGGTACTCGTACAATTTTTGACCCATCGATCGATTTAGATGAAAAAAAATTTTAGGTACTTCTGTAACGAAATTATAGCACGAAATAAATTTTTGTAGGTACTCGTACAATTTCTTGACAACGGTGATCGATTTAGATGAAAAAACTTTAGATAGTCACAATTTTTTGACACGACGATCGATCTTGACGATTGTCATTTCATAGGTAATTTGACGCCGTTTTTGGAATCATATATATGCCATGTGTATACTTATCTAATAAGTAAAGTGTATTCATTTAGAATATTAAGAGATTCAGACGATAAAAATCAAAATAGGTAGTAAGTATTCTTTAAGATTGTTTCTACAAGTTTTATTTAAAAATTGTAACAGAGAACTATTATTTTTATAGTGCCCCTTTCGGACCGCTTGGACGAGTCCATTATAAAAAAGATCGAGGGACAGTAGGTAGAAAAAACATATGATTTGATTTGTCACGGAAACGTGAAGTTTATTAATAAAAGTGTTTTGTTGAAATTCTTCGAGTTTTATCATAAAGTTTATGGTTCGACACCCAACAAAATAATTGTAACGAATCCCCGTCACAAAATATAAATAATTTAAAGTCTAATCTGGCGAGTTGAGTTTGGATGAAACTGTAAACAAAATGTTTAAAAGTGTAATCTAATCATTTAAATTTAAATAAAATTCATATAGCAGTAAAGTAGTAAAAAGTGTAGGTTTAAAAGCACGAACTTTTGGGAATTCCCTATTTGTATAGTCTGGGAGCCACCTACTTTTCTGGGAAACATACTTTCAAGTTCAATTTATTAGAATTGTGATTAAAAGAAAGCACTATTCTCATTCATATTGCGATTAATGAATATTAATATTAATAATATTATACTACCATATATTACTCAAAATAATTTTTCGAATACATAGTAAGTAAACATAAATAGAAGATAGAACATATTATAGAGATGCAACCATAGAACGTATTTGTTATATTTATATGGTGTTTGGTAGATAGCATCCAACCGTAAACTGAATATACAACGTATTACTGTAGCAATCAACATTTTTGTTACACTAAAATTACTATTTTAGATCTTAGTGAACGTAGTAATGTAATAAAATCAATTATTGTACTGATTAACTACCATATAATCGAAAAAAAACGGCGTCAGCGGTGGCATGAAATGAAGATTGCTGTCATTTTATACCGGGTGCGTCTCAAAAGTGGCTCACCGCTATAACTTTTTAATTTTTTTTTAGATAAAAAAACGAGATTTGGTATGTAAGTATATGACATAAATTAGGAATTATTGACGTATTCAATTGTTTTTGGTCACTTCTGTTTCACCGAAATGACTACAACTTTTTGATTTTTAAATGACACCCCGGTATGTTTTTTTTTCATTATTTGATAGAAAATGACACTCTGAATCGAATGACATATCATATGTCAACTTTTGACATTCTCGCTTTAAAAAAATTGTATTTTAAATTTCAATCTAGTGTGTTAAAAACACTAATTTTTAATCAAGGAGCCTTGGAAAAATAGATTTGATAATCTAATGATTTTCGTGTCTTGTCCGGGCCCGTTCTTATAAGATGCCCAAATCGTATTTTTAATCATATCTTAATTTTTCCAAACGGAACAAGGGAGGCTCGTTAGCATATTTGGAAAAGAATTTTTTACGAATAATTTGGTACCACACACATGGTATTTCGAGTCAAATTGTCATTATGAACCGCATTTTACAATTTCAAATAAACCATATGCGAAAATGTAAAAAAATTGACATATTATGATATGTCATTCTCTTGAGGGTGCATCCACACTATCCTAAAACGGCGTATCGGCGTAACGGCGTAACGGCCTTGAATAGATTTCCAGTAATTCTATTGGCGGATGCGTCTCAAAAGTGGTCCACCGCTATATCTTTTATTTATTTTTTTGGATAAAAAAAACGAGATTGGTATGTTAGTATATGACATAAATTGAAATTGATTGACGTATTCAATTGTTTTTGGTCACTTCCAGTTTCACCGGAAATGACTACAACTTTTGATTATTAAATGACACCCCGGTATGCTTTTTACATTATTCGATAGAAAAATGACACTCTGAATAGAATAATATATCATATGTCAACTTTTGACATTTTCGCTTAATAGTATTTTAAATTTCTATCTATTATAGAGTGCCATGGATGTGTTAAAAACACTAATTTTTAATC